TCAAAACAATCGTTCGCGGCGGAACCATCGCGATGGCCGACTCGGACGACGACGTTGAAATCATTACGCCGACGAAGCGCTTGAAGCGCTCATATATCGACGACGAAGACAACGAAGAGCAGAATGTGGTGGCCTTGTCCCAGCAAACCGACGAAGAAATCGTGATGACGTCGAAGAACAAGCAACAGAAGCGCACGGTTGTGCTGGACGACACCGACGAAGATGAGACCAAGGAACCTGATGATGCAATGGCAAATTTTCGAGCGTCCACACCTCGACGGGAGAACGGTGCACCTTCTGCTCGCTCTACCCCGAATCGGCGGCACAGCATGCCTGCACTCAATACGCCAAGGAGCAGCACCAACCGCCGTGCGTCCCGCCGTCTCTCGGACCGCGGAGCTCAGAAAGAGATCGAACATATCGAACTCAAACAGAAACTCAAGCGAAAGAGCCTTGAAACGTGCCTCCCACCAAGAAAACCCGCGTCGGAGGACGAATTCGTCGGCGAATCGGACGACTCGGACGCGTTTGTTGTAGACGACGACGTGGTCGAGTACATGGAAGAGGACGAGAAGCCCGTTCTGGCCGTGGACGACGACGGCGAGGACGACGACATCGAGATGGCCATGAGGGGCTCGAAGGATCCCATGGATTGGTTCTGCATCTACCTCACGTACATTGAAGAGTGCTTGGTACGTGCGCACGATTTCAAGCCAGCTATGATCTCGTGATTCCAGTTGAATTCGACGTTTGAGACCGATCCAGCGATTCCAGCAGTCTTCAAGCACTCGATCGAGCATGTAAGCGCCTCGCTGGGACGGCTCGTCGATCAACGACGCGGTAGGTGGAACGGGGGCTACTCCAACGCCGCGACAGCTTGCGCGGGAATGTGCACTGGCCGTCCGATCTCGTTGAAAGCATCGATACCATGCCGCAGGCCGTCGAGGGCGAAGGCGACGGCGATCGCGACTGCTATGCGTGCAATCGCAGCGGCCACCCGGCACATTATGCAGTACGTGGTCCACGATGCGTCTGTCCAAGCTGAACGAGCTCACGCCGCCATGTTGCAGATCATCTTTACGGGCGTGGCTTGCAATGCGACCGACATGTATCGACGGGGATGGCGGCAACAGTACGTGATCTGAACGATGGGCATCGATATCGTGCACAATTGTGGACTTGAACCGTCATGCGGGGCGGTGGCTAGCTTGATGGCTTGCCTCGAGGCCGACAACAGGACCCGCGTCGAATATGACCTCGGCAGTCTCTGCTTCCAGGTACTTTATGGGAGTTGATGGGCCGTTGTCGCCCGTCTGGACGCGGCAGACATGACATGGAGTGGATGGCGTGCAAGCGGTGCCATGGCGGCGAAATGCATTGCCTGGATGGTTGTCATCGTCCATGTTTGTCATGCCGAGCGCACGGAGTTGGGTTTTGTGACGGAAGACGTTGGATGGCGGCGACGTCCAGCCGCTCGCCGACGACGCGATCCGAATGTCTCGATGACCTCACCAAGGCGTTGTGGTAGCGAGTGCTGCTGTACTGGAGCCTGCACCAAGCCAAGCGGCAGTGGTGCAATATCGTGTGGCGCAAGATCGTCGAGTACGGTTTAGTGGATCCCGGCCACGACGCTGTATGCTGATCTTTCGTCGATGGTAGGAGTGGCAATGGCCCGATCCCGTCCGACGTCCGCGAGAAGCTGCACAAGGTACAACCTCTCCAAGACGGTTGCGGTTGAGTGCGCGGCGACTAGGTCGAATACGGCCGATACAAGAAGCTCCTGGGCATGGTAGACGGCATGGAGTTGAAGGAGAGCCATGTGTCGCGGATTGGGAATGTGTGGGCGAATGTGCGCCAGATCACGATCGAGTCGATGGCGGACCCGCATGATGAGGGCGGCCGACGCCGTGGGGACGTCGCGGCCCTTGTCAACGACGAAAACCTGGTCGGTGAATCGTCAGAGGATGACGACGAAGATCGTCTCGTGGACGAAGAGGAAAACGTCGACGAGCCGGCGAGGCGGCAGTCGCCACCGAAACCTGCACCTCAGAAAGAAAGGACGCAAGAGACTGCTGCTGGTACATCTCCCCAGGACGCCAACCGATGTCTTGTCTGCAACGCGCGCCCTCGCACCGGCGGGGTACTCCATGGGTACTACGTGCACATTTACTGCTGCTTTGAGTGCGCCAAGTCGCTCAAAGAGAAGAAGAAGCCGTGTGCTGTTTGTTCGCGGCCCATGGAGCGCGTCATTCATCTCCTGCAGCTCAACGATGAAGAAGAAGTGCGCATTCGAGCGACCCATGCATCGTCGTGTCGTTGACAGCTCAACGTAAGACCCTCGGCAAAACGCTTGGCCTTCTCGTTCATGAGGCACGGGCGCTACATGCACTGCAACGTTAGGTCTCAACATGAATTCGAATGTCCTTTGTGGAATGGACCAGTCCACATCACAAGAAGAACCTGTAGTACTGAATGGCGGCACTCCCTTCGTCTGACCGAGAGGACGGGACAGTCCACATTGCCGTCGAGTCCTAGCATCGCGGTCTCCGTAGTCTTTGTATCACGTTTCATGGCGCGTGGAGATGCCGGTGGGTGTCGCCATCGACTGTGTCTTGTCGGTGGATTGGGAGTTGGATCAATTTTTGCCTTTTTTCCCCAAAACAGTCAGGTATTTCGACTATTTTTCGCAAGTTTTCAATGAGACATGAGACGGTATTGATGTTCCGGATAATTATCCGGTTTGTCGCCCAGCTGAAGATACGTCACCACGGCGCCGACGAGATCCAACGTGGCGACGAAGGACGGCAACGCATCATGGGACAAGTGACATCCCATTCCAGGAAGCCATGTAAGACCGCCGCATTGGATTGATTCTGTGCGGCAGCGCCATCCTTTGAATGCGTCTATCATGATCGACAACTGTGAGTAGTCGACTTCGAGGAGTTCTCGGTCGCATGGCTCGCATTCAAGGTGAGTTGTGCTAGTGCTCTGTGCATGCATTGTTCACGGCAGACGAACGTATTCAGGGCGAGATGTCAGAAATCGGCAGCCGGAATCGCTCTGTCGCGAGCAAGGCAGGGCTGTCGTCGTCCAAGCTCCTGCGGTCGTTGTTCGGCGGTACGCGCTGTCGCCATCGTTCCGTTTGATTCCGCTGCGTTCGTGGATGTCCTGATTCTTGGACCCTGCCCCGTAGAGAGTTTCGTGGACGAGCTCACCGAGTATGCAGCGGACGCCGTTCCACGCGAGCACTTCATTGTGCTCCTAGCGCAGTACTACCTGTACGAACCCATCCTCAAGTCTCTACTCGCCGCCCTCACGTGCCGTATGCAGCGGCAACACAGAGGACAAGCTCGGGTATCTCTTTTCCATGTACAGCGCGACATGCAGCCTCGACAGGTACCCAGCCATGCTGCTTGTGGTTGTCGATGGAAGGGCCATCGACACGTGGCGCCGCCTCAACGGCATGGCGACATGCTAGGAACCAACCTGACGGTCCCGCCATATCGCCCGTTGACGTCGAATGTCTGCTGGAGTACATGGCGCCGTATCATCCCGTGCCAGAGGTATGCCTGCCACATCTCCCATGGCTTCGGCCTTCTCTCGGCATGTTGCGCTGACCATGACTATAGAAACTCGTGGCCATCTTTGACGAGTGCCATCTCTCAAAAGACACGTCATTGACGCTGCCGGTATTCCTCACGTGGGTGCGACAGTCGCCATCCCTCATGACCGTACGTCGCCGCCACCTTTCGCGCCGTTGAGGACATTGCTCGATTTCGCCGTGGCGAGCCTCCACGAGGATCTCATCCAAACTTGATGTAGACGATCGCAAAGATCTTGCCAGCGCACGTCGCCGCGAAACCCCCGCCGATCGGGCTGTCCGTGTGCATTCCCGATGACACCGCGATAGCGCTCTCAACGTACGGCAGATATGGATTGACGTCGTCATCGTTGGCATGGCATACGTAGTGATCCGTTGAACATGAGCCCGTCGATGGCGCTGCATCCGTCGAGGCACCACCAATCGTTTGATATTGTCGGCGGCGACAGCAGCGACGAAGACGAAGATGCTGCCAGTGAATCGGACGATCACGCGGCTGCCGCGAGCTATTCCAACTCTGACGCGGTATGCCACGTGCCATTTGTGTTGGTGTGTCGATGACGTTGAGACAAATGCACGGACGAGAGGATGGACATGTGCGTCGACGGAGATTGCAGCTGAGTTGGAGGCACGACTGGATAGGACGACGAGCTGCGCCACATTCCCTCGTCCAGCCCTGCTGGTCAATGCGGCAACGCCATGCCGCAGTCTGGTGGTTCATCTCCTCCAAAGACCGACTCGAATCGAACGCCGGCGACGTCTTCGCCACGTCCGCCCCCGATGGATGTGCGCACCACCACCAACACCACTCACCACCGTGCGTGTGCTTTGAATGTCCATCTCCCACACGACGATGTCTCATGTGCGTAGAAGGGCCGTCCAGCAAACCCAAAGGCAAGCACAACGCCATCGGCAAATTTGGGCGCGCCGTCGGGGGCGGCATCCGCACGATGCTTCACCCTGGCAAACCGCACACGCAGTCGAAGCACAAGTCGGGCCACGACGTCGTCGCGGCGATCATCGCATCCGACCCGACCGACCACCACTACGTGGGGGGGTATTTGCACAAAGTGAGCGATGGCAAGTGGGCCAAGCGCAATTGGCACGTCCGATGGTTTGTGCTCGACATCGACCGCGGCATCTTGGCCTACTACAAGTCGAACCCGTCGTCGATCGTGCAGAGTCCCCACGGCAGCGTCGCGTTCTACGACGACTTGGACCTGCACCACACGACGAATTTTATCCATGCGGCGGCGGATGAAGCGGCCTCTTCGAATCCACTGCGCCACCGCGCGCCGCCGTCGACGAAGCCGCATCCGTGGTATCGCGGGTGCATGGACCTGAACGAACCGAATGTGTCGCTGTTGTTTGATAAGCAGTACGGCCACAATGCCCCGAATAAGTTTATCTTTCAAGTGTCGAGCGTTGGCATGGGCGACGAAGCCAAGCGTAGGTTTCAGTACAAGGTAAGCGATCCTGCTTTTTCGACCGGCGACCGTCGACGGATTCGTTGTGTCGGCGTTGTAGCTGTGTGCGAGCACCGAGGACGAATTTGTGCAATGGACAAGTGCCATTGCCCAAGTCATCAATCGCAAACACGTCACAGCGGCGTCGCTCGCGGCGCCCCCAGCGCCGCCCCCGAAAGGTACCGCTCCATGACGAAAGCACATGGAATCGTGTGTGCATTGCACTGAGCGAATGATGCGTGCATTGGCTAGACACGCTTCAACAGCAATTGCATCGGCAAAGGTTGATGCAGCAGCAGCATGCAGACCACGCACGACACGACGATGATGCGTCCACACAGCCCGCCAAATCCCCAACGAAACCCACCCAGAGTCCGCCGAGGTCGCCCGCGGCAGGTTTGTCACCGTCGCTGTCGACCAAGCAGCCAGCCTCTTTGACGCCGTCGCCCACTTGTGCGAACCCGTCGCTGCCATGCAAGCAGCCCAGAGACGCCGCGATTCCGTGGCGGCTGCAGCTGGTCGTGGAAGGCCAGCGCCAGTGCTTCTTGTTCCTTGCCCTGGTCAACGTGTGGAGCTTTGTCGCGCTCAACTACTTTGGCTTTCTCGTTCAAGTGCCCGTGATGGCGCTGGCCACGTACTACTTTTTTCGTCATGTTCATGCCATGCCGACCGCGACTCGACGAGGTACGAGCCCTCGACTCGGGAGCCATGCGTTTGCAAATCGAGGACGACGCCATGTTTGTGTTAAACTGCCCATGCATGCCTCCCACGTGCTGGTTGTAGTCCAGCGGTGCGCGTCCGGTGCGTCCACTCGGCCCGCGGCGGACGGCGCGTTGCCATGTGCGATCAGCGGGGCGTGCTGCCTGCATGCCGATGGCCCGTTGGACGACGCAATCTTCGCGGGAGACGAGGTGGCGGGGGAGGACGACGATGGCAGCCCGGCAACTGTTGTCGCCCACCAACCCCCAAAGTCGTTTCGATTCGACATGTTGTCAACGTGTGGGCAAAGCACCGACGACGATACGGACGAGAACGCGTGGTCGATCGCGACAGCGACGGCATTCAACGTCCGCAGCAAGGAGTACAAGAAGAGCAAGAAGAAGGAGGTAGAGGCGCCGACGACTTTTCAATCCGTTGACAAGTTGATGGATCGCGCATAGCCATCCCAAGCGGCTCTGTTGGACTTTGTCGGGGTCGATGTCGTCCGCACGGATGGGAAAATCGATTGCATTGCCGAGCACGTCCATATCCCGGCGACGCTGGCCAACACGCGCCTGTTCATTCTTCATGCCCAGGTACGTTGGCACTCTTCCGTGCATGTTGTGGACGGCGAGGCACGTGTGGAAGGCAGTGAATGGATTGTGTGGCTAGATGCCGTTGTACGCGCCGTCGCTATTTCATTCGAGCTACGATGGCCCTGGGGCGAGCCTTATCATGTACTGGAGCATTCCACCTGCGATCGAAGAGGTGGGTGTCGACATGGCACGATCGCGGTCAACGGCCTCGATGCACACGTAGGCACTCCAGTCCCCCGAGATTCCCGCGATGCAGTTGCTCCAGCGATTTCTCGAGGCGTCCACGTCGTCGGGCGATCCCACGGCGATCTTGGATCGATTCAAAGTCATTGCGCAGGTCGTGAATGAACACGATTGTGGCGTCGCGGGGTACACCAAGAAGCTCCTGACCAAGAACAACGCGACGCCGGTGCTCACGCGGCCCCAGCATCGCATCTACCACACACCCACGTACACGGAAGTCGATGTCGATGTCCACATCTTCTCGCTTGTCGCGCGGACAGGCATCCATGCCCTCATCGGTACGACAATTGTGAAAACGATGGGATGGCAGCACGGGGGGGGTTCTAACGTGCGCATGACGTAGACAAGACAGCGAGCATGCTCATCGACGTTGCATTTGTCCTCCAAGGCGAGTCCGAGGCCGAACTCCCCGAACAGATCTTGGGCGTGTGCCGCCTCGTTCGCATCGATTTGGCCAAGGCCAAGCATCTGAACGACGTCGCGAGATCGAGCGACTCGTAGGCAAAGGAACAGAGTTTTCAAGTGCATTCGTTTGATCGAGTGTTTGCGTGCCTTCGCGATCATGACCAAGCAATCGCCAAGCCAGGACCGTCGGCAACCGCTTGGACCGGCGCCATCGCGACACGGTCATGTGCTCGAGAGTGAACCCCGGAAAAAGCCGACACCCCACATAAAACCGACAACCTCCAAAACATGATCTGATTAATAAATTCTGCCACCTGCATACTCCGGAGTACTTCAATACCAAGGCGGAATGCAATTCTTTTTGACCAATTGCTATGCAGATAAACCAAACACTGTGATTGACTGACTGAAATTCTGCTAGTTATAGCCAATCAAGCTGGACGAATTCAAGAAATTATAATAACGTTATACCTCGAAGTATTGATTTTATTCTTCTTGCATTTTCAGGATGAAACCATATGTCGGCTTTTTCCGGGGTCCACAGTAGCGCCGTGGTGTGCTTGGAAATCCCACGCGCAGCGCAGGCCGCCTCGACTGCCCGACATCCCCTGCTCACAGACATGATCCTTTTGCGCGAGCGCTAGGCGCCACCCACAGTCGTGAATGGAGGACAGAATAGATAGGATTCATTCGAGCGGGTGGCTTCTAGAGTGCCACGACTGCCACCGTGACGTTGTCCGCCGTTCGCCGCGTGAGCGCCAGCTCGACGAGGGCAGCAGCCGACTGTGTCACGAAATGTTCTGGTGGTGGGTTGAGGTCGTGCTGGAAGCTCTCGTCAAGATCGGCCACGATTTGGTGCATTGTGTCGCCGTCTGTGACTCGGTCCCACAGTCCATCGCTGCAATCCGAGGAAGCATGTTAGAACTTGCACTCGCCGAGTCGTCGGGGCACTCACCTGGCAATCACGAGGATGTCGCCGCCCGACCTGGCGAAATGCCGAATATGTGGAACCGCCGACACAAGCGCCAGGGGTGTGTTCAATGGCGACGACGATGGGACGTTCTTAAGCTGGTGGTCGCCAAGGGAGCGACTGACGGCGAGCCGCAGCGTCGACTTTGGGTGAGTGACCCGCCAGCAGCCCGAGAATACCACCTACTCGGTTCCGTTGACGAACATCTCCAAAAACCGCAGGTCAAAAAGGCACGGCAGCATCCAGCTGCATAAAATTTCCCATACCAACAAACGCCACATGCATCGCTTACATTGCCGCCCGCATTTACGATGCGCGCTTTTTCCGCCGCCACGTGCGGTTTGTGGTCAATGGACAGGCGCTCGACCACATACGTCGCTGCATTGGTGTGAAGCGAAGGGTGTTGTCGGCGCACCAGGACCACTCGAGAATCGCCGACGTTCGCCGCAAACACGAAGTCGCTGAAGACGAGTACTAACGCCACCGTCGCTCCATCTCGCCGGCCATGCTCGACAGTGTAAGACAGGATTTCGCGGTCCAGTTGAAGAAACGCAGTTTTCAATATCGTGTAGATCGATTCAATGGCGTCGGGAGGTATCGGTCGCTCGGATCCATAACTCTTCAGTTGGTCGTTGGTCGTCAAGAGCGCACTCAGGCGGGTGGATGCGAATTCCGCCGCCCATGCGCCATTGTGGCCATCAAATACGGCAACCAGCGCAACGTTCTCAAAGAGTTGGTTCACCACATGACGATCTTCCATGTACGCTCGAGTGCCTTGGGTACATGCAATGCCAACTTGGATGGACAACGGGTCGATCACATGGGTTTGACACATCGAGGCCTTGTCGCGGGTAAAGGCTGCCAAAGCAGCGTCGTACGTCACTCGACTACCAAGCTTTGAATTCACATGCACTTTCTTCTTCAACGCTGGTTGCTTGGGTTTCGGTGCCAGGGACGATGAGAATTGCGACACCCCTCTCGGGACGGCTTGATTCTGGAAAAACTGGCTGTCGTCCTTGGCCTTTGTCTTCGACCACGATAGGAGGCGAATCGCACTTGGTGGAGGTTTCACGAGTTGGCGCGGTTTACGTGCGAATACATGCAGGCGAGTGCAGCTGGATGGGGTAATGCCAAAGTCATTCGACACATCTTGATTCGTTGAGTTGTCAAGGATGCATGCATCGTCCGACGCCACCATCGAGGTCATTCACCCAAAACGTCGTCTTGATGTTCTAGTAGTCGTTCCTTCGAGGACGTGATGGATGGTGTCGATACAATAAGCGCGGGGACCGCCGGCGGCGACGCTTGCCGATGACGTTGGAAAATTCAAAATGCGACACAGTGCCAACTAAAAATACGCATATCTTTATCCGGTTAAGAACTCGATGAACCAATCAGATGTATCAACAAACTATTTAAAAGAGCACATATTATGAATATCCAGACAGCGATATCCCTCCAAACATATCTTCACCTCACAAAATGGCAATCGCAATGCACTCCTGCCTTGGATATGCGCCGAGGATGCATAATCTCGTCGTGGGGGCGGCAACTTTGAAGTAGCTTGCACCAACAGGTTTTTTTAAATGCCACGTGGGAATGCTGCCATTGTGTAGGTAAATATATATTTCGGCCATCGGCAGCATACTATCGTGCCGTTAGGAAAATATATACAATTGATTTTACCATCACTCCTTCGACTCATTTTGCACAATATATAAATTTTTTTATTGAACATGCATTCCAATACATTTGACTCTACCCTAGCCCTAATTCTTTTTCATGAATATTTTTGCCACGTTGCAGTTGTCGGATACGACAAAGTTATCCGGATTTTTGGACGTTTCGCTCAGTTTGGCGAGACGGGTGCGATGGCCACATGGGAGTTTTGGGCTGGCAGCGCGGCGTGCATCCTGCTGTTCCCGGTGCTGCGGTGGTTCTTCTCGCCCGTGACTGTCGCCAAGCACTTCCTCAAGACATACGATCCTAAGAAACAGTGGATGTATCGTGATGCGTCCGTCTCTCCGCCACGGCAGTACGTGTGTCGACTCTCCTGGTTGACACGTGTTGAACAACAAACTCGCATAGGGCGGCGTTTCCGTCGTTAAAATCGTCGCCGACATGCTATTTAACAGTTGTCGTACCGGCTTACAACGAAGCGGAACGGATTCTGCCGATGTTGCATGCCACGCTTGAGTACTTGGAAATGCGTCGCACTGGTGATGCCCGGTTCACGTACGAGATCATCGTTGTTGACGATTGCAGCACGGACAGCACCGTCGAGGTCGTGGAGCGTGAAGTGGACCGTCTGGCTTCGACGTCGACCTCGTCCGTTCTAAAACTGCTCCGCCTGACTGTGAACCGCGGGAAGGGTGGCGCTGTTCGCAGCGGCGTGTTGCGCGCGGCCGGTGAGCTCATACTTATGGTGGACGCCGACAACGCGACGGAAATTGGTGATTTTGACAAACTCGAGGCATTTTGGACCAAGGACTCGTACCCGAATGGGTTGATTGTGTGCGGGAGCCGAGCGCATCTGCAGAACGAGGCCATGGCGAAGGTAGACTGCACCGTCTTGCGTGCGATGAACTGACTGCATGTGAGATAGCGCCACCCGCTGCGCAACGTTCTCATGCATGGCTTCCACTTGATTGTGTCGACTCTGTGTGTACAGCAGGTGCAGGACACTCAATGTGGCTTCAAGCTCTTCGATCGCAAAGCCGCGCAGCTCGTGTTCCCGCCACTGCACATTGAGCGTTGGGGATTCGACGTGGAGATGTTGTACTTGGCGTTCCAGCGCAAGATCGCCGTCCATGTAGGCCGTCGAAATTTGGACGGCAGTCATGACGTTGTGTGTAGGAAGTCGCGGTGCACTGGCAGGAGATTCCTGGCTCCAAGCTCGACGTGGTGACTGCGACGTTCAGCATGTTGCGTGAGATGCTGCTCATCCCATGCTGCTACAAGCTCGGGATCTGGCGCGTGGACGATGGAGCTTTGCGGCTGGCTTAGATCGATGTAGTTGGAGAGGACTCGATTGCGAAGAAGTCGAGAACGTTGTTGAAACAGTCCCATGACTTCGTTGATACATTTCGACGACACCATTGTTGGCGACGTTGGAAACGTCCTGCTCGGACGAATGTCGCTGTGACTAGGACTTGGAGGATTCGGCAGGGGCCGAGTGAGACGTTGCGTCGATCGCAGCAGTGAGCGTGACGACGTCTTGCTGGAAGAAGCGGTATGCATACGCAGTGACATTCGTCGGTCGATCCTTGAGAACTCCCGTGACGAAGGCGCGAATGATTCCGTCCAGTTCAGGGTGTGCTCGGATGTACTTTTCGTTCTCAATGCGGATGCCGACCTAGCGTCCAGCATGTCGTGGTCATGATCATCTATGGAGGAATCGGGATCCCGCACCTTGGCCAGGTTCAGCGCTGCGATCTGCGCATCGCTCAGCACGTCCATCTTCATGCAATAAGAGAATCAATTTAAAAACAAAGTTCTACTTTTCCATACAAACAACCTCCCAATATTTTTAAAACAATCACAGACAGTTACTTTACGTGAACCGTCGCGTCGGCCTCGCACAAACGAACATGGAATCCAAGGACATCTTTGCGCGGCTCGCGGCAGACGCGAAGGCGTCCAACAATGAAGGAGATGGCAGCAGCGCCGCGGACGACTCGTACCTGGTTGTCATTGGGCCCAAGAACAGCGGAAAGTCATCCCTTATCTTGTATTTCCTCAATCCGAACAAGGGTATAATGTGTACATCCTGCGCTTCGTCCTCACTGATTGTTCTGGAGCAGCTGATGAGCCAAAGCCCACGGCAGCGCTCGACTACGTATACGCTCGGCGAGCCGTGGCTGGCAGCAACAAGAAGGCCGTCGCTCACATTTGGGAGCTGGGTCGGTACCTCTGCGGCGAATCTTTGATTCAACTCGCTTGAACGACTACATCGATGGAAATCATCTCACGTGTCCGATCCTAGCCACAACCAAGAAGGTGCTCGAGCTACTTAAAGTGCCTCTATCGCCCGACAGGTTGCCCAGGTCGACACTCATGCTCGTCCTCGACTTGTCCGTCCCGGGCGACGTCCTCCCCTCGCTCGTGTACTGGGTCACCCTCGTTCGTAAGCTCCTCACCGACTCGAACGCTGCCCCCCCATCCGAAGCGTTTATTCAAGCCAAGTACGGCGAGAAGCACCCCGACCGACGCGACGTGTCTCCGATATCGATCCCGCTCTTGATCGTCGGCGCCAAGTACGAGACTTTCCGCGACGAAGACAGCGTCAAGCGCAAGGGACTGATCCAGGCCGTGCGCTACATTGCACACGCGATCGGCGCCACGCTGCTCTTCACAACAGTCAAGGACAAGGCCCTCGCCACGCAGGTATGCGTCCGCATGAAGCACCATGGCGACTCCTGTATATCGTTCCAACACGGACCAACGCAAGATGCACCCATGGACTAGTTTCGGTCGGCATTGAACGCTGCCTTGTACAAATCCGAAGGCGGCGGCAAATCCACCAAAGAAGTCGACAAAGGGCTCTTCGTACCGCCAGGTACGTGCACCATGGGCAACGATGCGACGTCAGAGTATGGACGGCAGGAAGCGATACGTTCGAAGAGATCGGTTTGCCGAAAGGCGCGCGCGTGGCCGACTTTGAAGAGTCCAACTTGGACAAGCGCATGAAGTTGTGGGCGAAGGCGATCGCGGAGCTGTACCCACCAGTGACCCCTCCCGAAGGTGAGTGTCTCGTTCGAGTCCGCATGGATCGTCACGTCTCGGTCGCGCGCAGCGGCGGGGAAAGACGCCGTCGACGATGACAAAGACGACGTCGACGACAAGTACCCCGAGCCATCCATCGATGCCTTGCGCAAACAAAAGCGGTAAGGCGCGAGTGGTGTCGAGATCGCAAGGCTCGTAACGAAGGAGTCTCTAACTACAGGGAGGAGCTTCGACGGTATAAGGACAAGAAGACCGAGAAAAAGCCGTCGGCCAAAAAGGAAGCCAAGGAGTGAGGACGAGGCGTTGCTGCCTGTGTCATGAACGACGCGCATTAACATGTTTTCCTGTGCACTGGAGAGGTGCTGCGTGATGCTGGCCTCGCTTGGTCGTGCTGTAGTCGTTCGTGCGCTGCATCAACTGGAGCAGTTTCCCCTTCCGTGGGAGGTTGCCGCCGTTGGGTAAATGTTCCATGCCCATGAAGTACCCGCACGAAAGGATCGAAAACGGCGGCACCGGCCGTCCCATGGATGGACAGCGGCATTCATATACTGCACCTGGCATGGCGACAGCGCACCGCGTCCTCACGAACGTCCACTTGCTCGTCGTCGCGATGACGTACCAAGACGGCATTTACGACGCCCTCCGGCCCGTGTATGGCCATCGGCACGCAATGCTGCTTAAGTGGCCGCGCCTTGCACACAAGCACATTGGACACCTGGAAGACCCACGGTCGGTGCTCCTCCTTCTGATCGAGCAGGATCGGTTGGATCTTGTACAGCGACTGCTACAGTGTCGACCTTACGGCTGTCCGTCTGCTTCGTCTGCCTGGTCCAGCAAAGAGTCCAATCCCACGTTTGCCCTTCGACCAAACCCGATGGACTCGGCGGCGGCGCTCGGTCGCCTGGCGATCCTGCAATTCCTCCATGAAGCAGCGATTGGGCAGTGCACGACGTCCGCCATGGATTTGGCGGCGCGCAACGGGCACTTGCATGTCGTGCAGTTCTTGCACACCCACCGCGACGAAGGATGCACCAAGTGGGCAGTGAATTGGGCAGCGGAGCACGGGCATCTCGATGTCCTCTCGTTTCTCTTGGAACATCGCCGAGAAGGCTTCACGATGTACGCAGTCGACCACGCCAGCCACGACCTCATTCTTCTCGCTCTGTCCGACTACATAAGCAGCCACGATATGTACTGATGCACGAGCATCTACACAAGCATATTTGCTGGCCCCACTTCGTGCCAAGCCATGCCCGGCCAGTCATCTAGACGCGCCAATTGACTGGGGCTTGAGCTGTGCAGCGCAGTCTACAATAGGTTGCCACCTACTCGAGGTAGTCTACTTGGCTTTGTACTGAAATGATGGCCAACTGCCTCGGGGGCTGTACTGAGAGCCACACTGTGACCCGTGTTGACGGCCATGGTGCTGTGAGCCGCGTTGCTCGACTCGAACGCTCTCCAGACGTTCGGGCTACCCACGAAGATCTGTCGTCACGCGTCCTCTCGAGATACCGAATTTGAAAACGCACGCATTGTCGCTGACAGGAAAGCAGTATGGGGTGTCGGTTAGAAGGTCGAATGTCTACAACGAGGACGCCGTCTGAAGCAACGAGTCGGCTGCTTTGATCGCCTACAAGTTGACTTAGAACACGATATGGTCAATGAACTTGACGTTACCTGGGCTTGAGGTTCGTTCAGCCACACACGAGAGAGGGAGATGTCAGATTGGATTGCGTTGATAAGGTCTTCCAGTGACGGAAAGTTCTCTTCTGGTCGCAAGTACCCCACGAGGACGAGGTTGAGCGTCGCGCCGTAAAAGTCGGATGTGAATTCGTGCAACAAATGCGGTTCGATCGTCTTTTCCTTGTTCTGGAAGAATGGGTTCCAGCCCACGCTAGCGACTGCCTTGTACGGACCTTTGCCGTCGACAGTCGCCCACCCGCAGTAAATCCCCGTCGGAATGTCATGCAGCTTGTCACCCAAGTCGTCAGCAGACAAGTTGGCCGTCGGACAGCCCAGCTGCTTCCCGCCGCGACCAAATCCGGTCACCACCGTCGCCGTCAGTCGGATCGGGGACACTTCTTGCATGACACTGACGATTCTTTGCTACTATTTCAATATGACCATCATTCGGATAAAATCGGTTTATCCGGATATCCGAATGCCTGTTTGAAATTATCCGGATGGAATTGGCGCGCAAAGTCCTGTCATTCGACGACATCAGCGGCAATACTCGTAGACACTTCCAAGGCGGTAGGAGCGGCGCCGATCGCCTCGAATGAAGGCGGCCGAGATAATGTTGTTCCCACTTTGGTCTCCATGTTGTACGTCCACACGTTCCTCGGGCGTCCTCGTAGGAACAACCAAATGTTCATTAGGGCACCTTGACTGAATGGCAGTACGTCCAGCGGGAGGTCCTTCAGGTACGTGATCTTGCTTCGTTTGGCGTGTTCCCATGACGACTATACCATCAACACGTGTGTGAGGCAGATATGGCGATGGAGGGGTAGCGTACTTGGTTTGTTGTGATGAGGAAGACGTGGTAGCAGAACAGCCCAAACGCAATCAAAAACACAAAGAATCCAAACACAATGAGCAGCATGAACGGAAAGCTGTCTTGCACCCACTGTTCCAGACTTTTCTCGTCAGTCTCGTCGTTCATTCGCATCCCGAAAGACGCAATATCCATGCCCCAAACTGCCTCGACTGTCTGCGTCAACATGTAAAGCACAAAGCGGCGGTGGTTGTCGCGGCCCACACACACACCTGCGCATACGCAACTACATGGTTTGGCACAAGGCATGTAAGGTCATGAATGTATACAAAAATGCACGTACTGATGGTCGTAGTGTTCCACGCATCGCCCGCAGTCGTTGCTAGGTTGAAGCGACATAAGGCCAATCAAGGAAGCAATCAAAATCCAACATACCAGTGCTTTGCACGAAGAGGGGCACGGACGTGGCAGTCCGCGAAGAAATGCCGCCGGTCCAGTTGCGCTGCCTCAGCATCCAAAAGCGATTCGCTGCTGCCTTCAGCATGCGGCACGTCGTCAATTTGGCATTCGTCGTGCGTATCATTCCCATCCTCCTGTAGCTGTACAAAACCGGGAGATGAACACTGCAGCGCAACGTAACACGCCAGGTTCACGACGCCAACACCGATGCAGAGCACGAGCCCAGCAATGCACTCCTGGAAATATCGCCGCCACACGCCAGCGGTGATTGGATACACGTATACGGCGATATGAAATCCCATCCACCACACACGAGTGTAGCAGATGCTCTTCTTGGCCATCGCGATGCTCTGTGCCGGAGGTCGGCCGTCCTGTCTTCGCGGCATAGCCCAAGCGAGCGGTAAGTGATTGTGTTATCCGGATGTCGGCACCTGATTCGTTTGTAGTGCCGCACCTTGTGACATGCGAGAAAACGCGGCGCTTCACCGGCGCATTCCTTTCAGCCATCGACAGTGCTGGTTCCGTCGTCAGAGGCATGCAGGGTCTCTCACTCACAGCTACAGCTCATGCGTGTGTTTGTGGCTAGCGTCGCATTGACCTCGGTCAGCCAAGTTGATCTGACTGAGGTAGAGGTTGCTCCACAAATCTAAAGAACTGCCAGCGAAAAAGGGAAACTGCGACACTTCCAGTGATGATGGGCTCCATTGCAGAGTCCATGCATGTCGGGGTATGAACAGTCCAAGCCAGCCTGTGTCACGGTGGCCGGGCGCCATGCGAAGACAGTCGTTCAAAGCGTTCATGCCATCATCCAAGCAATGGAAATACCCCCCGATTCCTGCAGCGTCACAATTGCGTAAAAGACCAAGAAAGGAAACGGAATAAGTATTTCAAAAAGAAATGGAAGCGACGTCGTGAGGAAGTTTGGCCAACAAACTGCCCTTACACGTGAACGGGGGTCGAAACAGGTACGAATTCCGCCTCGTCGTTGCTGGAGGGCTCGGTCTTTGCGACGGCCGTCTTGTAGTAATCGCTGGCGTCATAGGCGAGACCACCATGGTATGACACGTCAAGGCCAGCGAGTTCGTTCTCACGGGTGACGCGCAGCAACTGGAGGCGGCAGAGCCCGAGGAAGAGCACTGAGCAAGTGACACCAACCCATCCGACGATCGACAAAATGAGGACGACCTGGGCGGCGAGCTGGCGGCCGCTGTGAGCGCACGTGTAAAACAACCCACATGTGTCGCTCCGCCCAAACGCCATTTCCATCCCATCCGCTGACGCCAACAAGCCCGGAACAAGGACGCCCCACATCCCACACACGAGATGTACAGGCACCGCATCCACGACATCGTCGATGTGCCAGCGAACAAGAAGCCGCGACGATGCCGTGTACAGCACCGCGGCCACAAGTCCGATGACGACGGCGCCGGCGGGTTCAACCACGGCACACCCGGCAGTGATTGCGACTGCTCCAGCCAACACACCGTTGTTGGCCATGGTTGGGTCGACAATGCGGTCCCCTGTGATGGCATTCAAGCAAACGCTCCCGACACCAGCTGCGGCGGCAGCCAGCGTCAAGTTGACGGCGACTTTGGCGGCGACGTCGGCGCCATGCCCGGTCAGAGTTCCAGTGGACATGCAGTTGAAGCCGTACCAGCCAAACCAGAGCAGAAGCGTGCCGACTGTTTGGAGGAGCACCGACTGCTTGGGCATGTCGTGCACCTGGCCGTCTTCGAAGCGTCCGAGTCGAGGGCCGAGCAGGTAGCACCCAACGAGGGCAGCCATACCCCCCGTCATGTGGATCACGCCGCTTCCAGCAAAGTCGACCGCTCCCACATCAAACAATAGGGTGCCCGCAGCTCGGGTCGTACTGGCAAACCCCGTGGACGACCACACCCAGTGCACGACAACAGGGTACATGAACGCGGTCAGTGCGACGGCGTATGAAATGTACGCGATGAACGAGATGCGCTCGGCGACAGCACCCGTCACGATGGTCGAAGCGGTCGCGGCAAAAGCCCACTGGAACAGCCAGCCCGCGTACGCTTTGCCGTTGTACCGGCGGTCGTCGTCGCCGGCAAACATGTTGTCTTGAAAGACAAACCCGCTGCTCCCCATGAACCCATCGCCCTGGACAAACCCGAACGCGTACCCGACAAAGTAGAAGCTCATGGCGCTGATGCATCCGTCCAGAATGTTCTTGACCAAGATGTTTTTCGTATTTTTGACGTGGACACAGCCAACTTCAAGAAAACAAAACCCGACTTGCATGAAAAACACGAGAAACGCCCCCATGAGCGTGTAAAACGTGTCGAGCGCGCGCGCTGACGCGGTGTCCATGGTCGGTGCGGCTGCCGCCACGAGCGCAGCCACGTCTGTGTCGGTGAGCGTCACCAACGTCCCGTTGACGACAAGGGTAAGGTTCATGGTACGTGGTCGGTCGCGGGAACAGACGAGGCGACGGACAACGACGGTCAACGCTCCAAGTGTGGCGCGACGTGGGCGTCGAAAATTGACGAGTGACTCGATTCGACCAAGCGGCGAGCGGTCCGAAGGACGGCGGGACGGCTCGTGGGCGACTCGAACGTTGTTGTTCGTGCATCAAGATCTTGAGTGGCGGTTGTAGCCGGCGGGGCCACAAGAATTTGGGGCCACCGTTCTCGCCGTCGTTGTTGAGTAGACAATCCGAACGTTCCAAGGGCAGTGGGCGGATACTCGACACGGAGGATGGCATCGAAACGTCCAAGACATGCCAGTCTTCAGCACAAAATGCACTGCCCCTGTTGCCATGGCACCAGGTCGACTATAGCCCACCGCGTCGAGGGGGGAGGTGCCATTCCGTTGGTCGAACGGGGGACCCCCTCCCCAAGGCTCATTTGGCGCTCTCGCATGTCGCGGGACCGTCATGGCGGGTTCTGGACTCAGGGAATGCACACCCTGACAACCCAACGTCACGTGGTTGGTTGCTACCCTGTGAGAACATGCCAATACACAACTGACGCTGGCGAATGCTCTGAGTCGAAGCGTCGACACCCGTGGAAATGCCACCGTTCCAATGCAAGGCGCTGTGGGCTGCGAGAGCAACCGCACAGGGAAAGGTGCCTCGGCGCATTTTTTTGCTCGACGGTAGTGTTTGCGTTCGTCGTGTGGATCGCGCGACCTGAGTACACACTTCCCCCGACAGACTCGGCATGTTTGCTTGGTCGCGTCATGGATGACCTTTCAAATCGACTTCAACCAACGCTGTGGCCCACGAGACGAGGGCCGCCCGATCCTTGGCCCCGACTTTGCAAACCGACGACGACCGAGGCCCCGATGCCCTGACAACTCAAATGCATGGACACTACCATCCCTCAACGAAACCACTGGCGACCGTCCATTTGTCGTATCAAGCTGCTCGACTTCAGCTGGTCGGGCAACTTCTGTTGGCCTCACGAGGCAATGATCCGCATCCACATTTTGACAGTGATGCTTTGGATGTGTGCTGGAGTTGCTCCCACTTGTCGTGCGTTCGTCTGTCCATGAGCGAGCAAGCGTCACCCACCCGACGACTCTAGCCGACAGACGGCAGTGGCAGAGTTACCTGGCACTGCCGCTCCATGCGCAATCAAGAGGGAAGGCGTATGGGAGCACAAGACGAGAACGTGCCGTGTGTTTGCGCAAACGTGTGGCCGGTCGATATGTTCTCGACGGCAAGGCAGGCGGAAGGCACAAAGACGGCTGTCTTCAAGCTTGCCACGACGGACTTGTGATCGATCGAACGAGATTTGTGGCGCGGTCGAGTTGATGCAGCGTCCCGTCGCTCAAGGGGATGCCATTTGTTCGCTTGGACGACGTTGCTGAATCGGTCCATTGAGTTGCATGACTCAATGTTGGATCCAGTGTTGGAAGCGCGGTGGGGCCTCCTTTGTTTGACGAGTTGTCTTTGCCAAGTTGTGAAAGCATGGCGGTCGACGTTGATGGCACTGGAGGGTCTTTCGTCGGGCATCGTTGAACCCCAGTGCAGCACGAATATCGCGAAGCTGTGGAAACCATGTCCTGCGAACTGGTCTGACCAACGCAGACCGGACCATGGCTCGTTCAGCATGCCACGCGATGTATGAAGGCGCGTCGGCGGCATCTGCCGTTGTTCGAGATCGTTGGCCTCGTCTGATTGGACGATGCGTGATTGGCGACCACCATCGATCGGGTGGGCGCCGGGTGATGGAAGAGAATGCGCTGGGCTTCACGCACTGGGCTGGCGAAGTCTCGTACACGTTCTGTGGCGAAGTCATCACGCTGGTGCAGGACCCGTCGTCCCATGTCTTGGGTAGCACCGTGTGGGACAGCGCCAAGTGCGTGATCAAGTACATCGAGTGCAATCGCGAACGCTTCGCGGCCATGCTGCAGCGTTCGCGACCGTCGCGCAAGGCCAAGAAGGCACACGCGGCCTCCACGTGCGAATCGAAGGTTGTCGCCGTGTGCGAGCTTGGCGCGGGCCTCGGCCTTGCAGGCATTGCCTTGGCCAAACTTGGCTTTGGCGTCGTGCTCACCGACGTCGCGCCAGTCATGCCGTGGCTGCGAGCCAACGTCCGAGCCAACTGCACGCCCGCCCAGCTCGAAACACACGTGTTTGTTCTTGAATATGGATGGGGCACTCCAACGTCATCTCTCGACGCAGTCGTTCCCGCTCCGTACGGTAAGCATGCCGCCGTCCCGCCACCCGAGCTCATGTGCCGTGGTTGTAGACATTGTTTTGTGCGCAGACGTCATCTACGAAGTTGCGTGCGTGCGGCCCCTCGTGCAGTCGATTCTGGCCATCTCGAATCGAAAGGTTCGCGAGGAATGTTGACGTCATGACGATCGTCTGTTCGTAGACGCTCGTCCTGTTTGCGAACGAACGACGCACGCCAGCCGTCCAAGCGGAATTCATGCGGTACTTGGACGAGTACTTTGTGTGGACAGCAATCCCTCGATCCCAGTGGCATCCCGAGTACGCCAAAGGTCGCCGCCATCGATCTCGCCGTACCGCTTCCGTCACATGCAACCGTAGATGCTCTCGAGATGTACGAAGCCAGGCGAAAACATACCAAGACTCCGCCAGAAATGTTGATTCCAGACGATTCATCGCTCGCGCCACCACAGGACGGTCTTCTGCACTCGGACGACAGCACGCCACGTCACGACTGAGGGTACTTATCTGGCGCGGCCACTCCATTGAACGATGCGACGAAGAGATTCCATCTCGAGAATGTCATGGCGCCATGCCACACCACGTTGCTGGAAGATGCGTACTGGTCCAAAACCCTCGACATTCGAAGCGACAGGGGAGGATTGCGGCCCAGGACTTTACCACGATGGCCCGATGGAAGACATGCATGGGGCCTTGGCACAACTATTACCTGGTGAAAAATGCACCCGTCCTTCAGTTGTCCAGGTTCCTCCAGCGCGTCTGGCTCTCGACGAACGCCAACGAGCTCGATATGACGAACCATTGCGATTCTTCACGGTTCCGAGTGGAAAATACTTTGCCATGGCGAGGCTGTTCAAGACTCGCGACGTGTTGGCCGTGTCGTGCCACGCGTGCGGTATTGGATTGCACCAGGGACAAACTCTCGCAAGCGAACGCACCCTCCATGGATGTCGCACCGTCGTGGGCATCACTGACATAATCTAGCCATGGAAACACAACGGTGCGACACACCAAGATGAGCGGCGTTCGCTTGCGAGAGTTTGCCGCAAGGGTTGGTGGCTGTCCCACGGCCGTGAGGTAGCGCTCTCGAAAGTGCCATGCGCTTTGTCCTGCATCAGAGGCGGCGTTGTTTCCTTGGGCCTTTGCAACCACGTAAGACGACACTGCCAGACGTGGATCCGCGCAAATCAAACTGTCGATTGTCAAGGCAAAACGGAAACAGGGGGCAAAACAAAACGGACGAAACCACAGGCAGCACGGGCCACGGACCGACAACTCCTACGTCGACCACACAAACGTTCGAATTGATCCCTTGGGCACGACAGTCGCGACGGCCCTTGCGTGCGGATGCTTATCCACCACGTCAAATGTCGCGTCTTCCGTCGGGTGTTCATTCAGCACGACCAGAACGCGCTGTTGCTGTGGAGTGTCGAAGGCGACAGCTTGGACAAAGGCATACCCGGCCGTGACACAGTGCTGGCTCGACGGGTTGACGAGTGCGGGGGGAGTGCCCGTCCCTTCTCCGCCGACAAACGTCCAAGTTTGGGCGGCGAGATCGGTGCAAGGCTCGAGTGTGAGGCGACCGCCGTCTTCGAGGGCGCCGTTGCGGTGGGTGAGACACTCGTACTCTTGCCCATCCTCCTTGTCGCGCCCTGCTTTTCTCGGCACGGCAAACTTCACGGTACTGTCGGAACCGTCAAACGACCACGAGTTGGACGTGTACTGGCACTCGACGAGCTCAATGCGATTGCCGAGCCACGGTTCCGGGACAACATCGATGCAAAATTTCGAGTTGGCCACTTGAAGCTTTGAGTCGGGGGTGCGCACGATGCGCTGGCGGCTTGACCGGTCGCACCCATACGCTCCAGCGGGAAACCGCGGTTCCAAACTCCCGACGTCACCGGTCGTGGTGGCCATCGACGCGAACGACACGTGCACGCTCGAGTACACTCGCTTTGACCCCGGCGGCAAGTACCCCGAGAAGTGCTTGATGAAATGGTACATAGGCTGGACGGTGAAGTCTTGGCCGTCCGGGTGTACGATGATCGGGGCATCGCACGTGTTGCCGAGTTTGTTTGGGCCGCCTTCGTGGTCCAGGATCAAATTCCAGTCGACCCAGCCACTTGCGTGATGGCTCAGATCCTGCAGGATATCGTGCGCGTAGCGAAGGCCGCGGTCCCACGCCTGTGGCCCCGACGCGACGCCGGGGCAGTGCGCGGCTTCGGTCGCAAGGAGCAACTTGGTCGGGTCCAAGTGGTGCGTTTGGTTGACGTGCTCGTGGTTCTGTACGCCGTCAAGATCGCGAGTGTTATCGTACCAGTGGAACGCAACTCCGTCGACGTAAGGCTCGACGTTGCTGTGGTTGTACACGCCTTGGGCCCACAAGTGGACGTTGCCTCGGTTATGGTCGAAGATGAGGATTTTTACGTGTGGGTGGTCGCGGCGAATTGTGGGCCCGAGGAAGTCGGCGATGAATGCGGCCTGGTACGAATCGTCGTAGAGGCAAGCTTCCCACGGGGCCGGCTGTTGGGGCTCATTCTGGGGCGTCAGGGCCCAGAAGTTAATGCCGTACGATTTGTACGCCGAGATGAACTTGGAAAAGTAAAGCGCCCACGACGACCGGTACGCAGGGTTGAGGCCATACGGCTGCGCCGAACCGAGCATGTTGTGTTTCCCGGACGCATCGGGCAGCTTCATCCATGCGGGAGGGCTCCACGGTGACAGGAAAAGCTTCAGGTCAGGACGGAGTCGAAGCGCTCGTTGAATGAACGGAATCATGGCGTCTGTGTCGTGGGCCACGGACATGTCAAAGTACAGCAGCAGTGTGTCGTTCTCAACGTCGTCGAACGAGTACGACGATGGCGAAAAATCGCAAGAGTTCATGGGGACACGCCCAAGCGAGTAGGCCGCTCCGCCGTCGCTTGCCTGGCTGAAGTACAGCCGGATGATGTCGTCTTGCTTCGATTGAGGCAACCGCTGAAGCTGCAGTGCCGAAGCTTCCGTGAACGCCCCACCAAACCCTATTATATCTTGAAACGTCTTAGAGCTGTCGACGACAATGTAGCTGGGAGAGTAGTCGTGAGAAGCCGTTGTTCGGAATTGGGTGTGGTCGATGGGTTGGGACATGTGGCCACTGGCAAACCCCGTCTCCACAACAAATACTGACGAGTGCGACGACGACGAGAGTTGCGTGGTGGCCGCAGGCGACGTTGACGCCGCGTCGAACGTGACGTGATGGACGACGCAGATTCCAAAGGACAACGCAATCGCGGCGCCAACGGCGATGGGGAGCGCATGGCGCTTGAACCAGGCGTTCGTGCGCTTCATCGTGACAGTGGGCATCGATCCATACTGCGTGCGCGGGGCGGCAGCACGAGTCGTCGCCAGCGGCGACTCAAGCGGCTTGCGTTCCATGTGGAAGATTTCGAAGTGGTCCAAGTGTCTGGCGCGTTCGATTCGAAATCTTTGTAACTGCCAGTGACGATATTTGACCAAATCATTGGATGAAATTCGGGATTCATCTGGAGAATACCCAATCAAAGTAGATGAAGTTTCCGAATCAACCAATCAAACTCACCGATGGTTTCGCCCCGTTCCACATGAAACAGTTACAACGCATCTCCATTTTCGTCCAAGAGCATGGAAGAACGCGCGCGAGCGAAAGTCAGTCCGTCGTGGCATGGAGCGATCATGTGTGGGATTAAATATCGGTGGCGAAAATAACAATGGAAGGAGAGATGAGAAACGGAAGACCGCGACGAGCTACATGAGCACGCACGTCTTCCGGCGGCCGCCATGGTCTCGCTCGAGGGGCAACGGGCCCTGATGCGGTCGACCGAGGAACTGCGATATTCGACGATGCAATACCCCGTGGTCGTTGGTAGGCACGACCACAGCCCCAGTTCCATGTGTCTTTGCAAGCTTGAACGCAGTCGCTTTGAACTTGACATCGAATGCCCGCGACAGATGCGGCTTCACATCGTAGACCCAGTCCCAGTACTCGTCCGCTTCCCGCCCTGTGTACTCAAACATCACCTTGACTTCACTTAGACACACTGGACAACCTCTATGCAATTGCAGCTTGCCGTGAGTCCCATGAAGAGCAGAAGAGAACGTACCCCACAAACGACGTGGTTCCGCCGAGGGACTTGATGCAGCTATCGCACACACACTTGTGCTGGCAAGGAAAGAACACCATGTGTGTCGGTCCAGCTTTGCACACGACGCATGGTGAATCGTCGTAGGTTCCGTCAGGGTGGCGCGCGTATGGTTTGGCCATGTTGAACTTGTCGACTTCAGCCATGTAGTCGCTGATCATGCTCCTGCTAACGTTGCGGAGGGCCTGAGTTTGGAACATCTTCTCGTCATCGTTTGACGACGGATGATGCGCAAGACTTCGACGCGACTTCGCGCTCTTCATGCTCTTGTACTCGGACGGGGCGGCCACAACGGGCAGATGCGATTGACAATGCCCGCTCTGTACATGCTTGTACACGACGATCCCGTGCTCGTCAACGATCTCGACCCACCCATTGCGGTCGAGAGAGTCGCTTCGAGCACTTGCTTCCATGGCGGAAGGAGGACGCACCGGGGAGCGCCACACGCCGCGCCTTTTTTTAGATTGTTGCTATCATCATGTTGAATAGGTGCACCCAACTCCTCGAAACGATCGCGGTTTCGAGATTGCGTTGCATCTTCTGTCAACCTCGCGAGTGTTCCCATCCTTACTGGGTTGGACAGCGACAGCCAAGGCATCTTCGTGCCGACAAAGCGTCATCGGGCTCGCGTCCGACAGCTTCGCCTCCTCAGAGGTGATCTTCAAGTGTACAACACATGGTAGAACGAGTCCTTCAAGTAGTGACTCAGATATACATGATTGGCTGAAAAGAATGTTATGTATCAAAGAGAGAGATTGGATTCGCTAAAATTCAAATTCTTGAGCCAATCCGAAACGTTGGATTTGGATACCTTGATAATTTCGCGCACACTGCTGCATTATCGAATTCGACGTCGACATCGCAACACATCACGTACGTACGGCTATCCTTGGTCGGGAAATATCTCCCGCTGTTGCATGCATGAGAACCATCTCACGCACTGGTGGACGCACAGAATGCTCTCGTCCCTTCGTCGGCCCGTGATCCGACGCATGATGTCGTCGCACGCACTGCCGTTTGCAATGGCCTCGAATGTCCTCGATGGCAAGATCAACACCAAGTCCAAAGACTTCGTTGAAAGCATCGAACGCATGAATACGCTGACGAGTGAGCTCAAAGTAGGTCTATTTTAAGGCTTCGATGTTGACATCGTTCACAGTTGTCTCAATCGCGGAGGTAGACACGATTGGATGTTGTCCGCTTGGGTGGCGGTGAAGCTGCTCGCAGCAAGCATGTCGCTCGTGGCAAGCTCCTTGCCCGCGACCGCATCGACTCCTTAGTTGACCCTGGCAGCGCGTTCTTGGAATTGTCGCCCCTTGCGGCCCACGACATGTACGGCACGCCTGTCCCAGCTGCCGGTATTATCACTGGTATTGGTCGTATCCATGGCGTGGAATGCATGATCTTGGCGAACGACGCCACCGTGAAGGGCGGCACCTACTTTCCCATGACAGTGAAGAAGCATTTGCGCGCACAAGAAATTGCGCGCGAAAACCGCTTGCCGTGCATTTACATGGTCGATTCTGGTGGTGCCTATTTACCGCTCCAGGCAGAAATTTTCCCGGACAAGGAGCATTTCGGGCGCGAATTTTACAACCAAGCGAACATGAGTGCGGCTGGCATTCCGCAGATCGCCGTCGTCATGGGCAGCTGTACGGCAGGTGGCGCTTATGTCCCTGCCATGAGCGACGAAAGCGTCATTGTGCAAGGCAACGGAACAGTCTTTTTGGGCGGCCCCCCGCTTGTCAAGGCCGCGACCGGCGAAGTCGTTACGGCTGAAGAGCTCGGCGGCGCTGACGTGCACTGCCGCACTTCCGGCGTGACGGACCACTTGGCCAAGAACGACGCACATGCGATTGAAATAGTCCGCCGCATCGTGTCCAACCTGAACTGGACTTCTAAGGCCAACGCGAACGTGACTCAGTCTTTGACGGAAGTTGAAGAACCGGTGTTCGACCCGGCTGAGCTTGGCGGGATTATCCCTGTTGATGGCCGCAAGCCGTTCGACGTTCGCAAAGTGATTGCCCGCATTGTGGACGGGTCCAAGTTCGACGAATTCAAGCAGCACTACGGCACGACGATCGTGACGGGGTTCGCTCGCTTGTACGGCCGCCCGATCGGGATCATCGCGAACAACGGGATCCTGTTTTCGGAATCATCGGTCAAGGCTGCGCACTTTATCGAGTTGTGCTGCCAGCGCCAGATCCCGCTCCTCTTCCTTCAAAACATCACGGGGTTCATGGTGGGCAAGAAGGCCGAGCACGGTGGTATCGCTAAGGACGGCGCCAAGCTCGTGACCGCCGTCTCGTGCGCGAACGTGCCCAAGGTCACTTGCATCATCGGCGGGAGTTACGGTGCCGGGAACTACGGAATGTGCGGCCGTGCCTTTAGCCCGCGTTTCTTGTACATGTGGCCGAATGCCAAGATCTCGGTCATGGGTGGCGAGCAAGCAGCCGGTGTGTTGGCGACTGTCCAACGCGACAACATGGAGCGCGCCGGTAAGACATGGTCCGCGGAAGAAGAAGCCGCGTTCAAGCAGCCCACGTTGGACAAGTACGAAGTCGAAAGCTCGGCGTACTACTCGAGCGCCCGTTTGTGGGACGATGGCATCATCGACCCCAAGGACACGCGCAAGGTGCTCGGGTTGAGTTTCAGTGCCGCGCTGAACGAATTGCCGACGCCAACCAAGTTTGGCGTGTTCCGCATGTAGAAGTAAAGAGGAGGCAAAACGAATGGACGGGTGTTTTGTCATGGACGCAGTTAAGTCGACTCGAGTTACACAGACGCTGGCGACGTCCACTTGTGCGCGAGCGCGCGTTGGAGTTGGTACAATTGCGCGGTTTCATTGGATGCATGGCACGCAAGGAGAAGGTAGTTGCGAGGCTGCACCATCCACGCAAATCGCATGAAGATTAAACTGTACACTGCCATCGCTACAACGTCGCCCAGTCGTGAGAGTGTGGTCCAGGTGAGGCAAGCACGAACTGCTTCGTTGTGCAAGATCCATCAAGCCACAGTTCTTACCAGAAGTCATGTTGATCGAAATTTTCTCCGGGGGTTTGTTCATGTCGGCAATCGCCTACATAACCCAACGCAGATCGGCATCAGGAACGATGGGAGTCGGTGCAGAGCCATCCATCAAGATAGGTGGCGACGTACAGCAGCGACGAAGCCCCAGTTGGCCACGGGACCCCAGAAGTGCGTCGTCTTGGGGCCCGTCGGGTGGTTGATGAACGCCTTGAATCGCCCTGCGAACGACATGATGCAATCGCTCGAATGATGTCACAAACACCAATGTCCGGGTACCCGGATAATCTATGTCTGCTATCCGTAGAATTGGTGCGCCGGATAATGTGGCTGGTGGTCGTACGGATAACGTTGTCTGGTATGGGTGGGTAAGCGGAGCGATCCCGTCGTTCGTGCAAATGGTTGGGGCGGGCGACCGAACGAATGCGACAAACAAAACCACCACGGGTGTGGATAAGCAGTACATATGCATAGAGCAGTATTCCGTCGAGCGCACCGATCGCATAGATGCTTCGCCACTGGTGGGTGCACCGTTTCTGGTGCCCAAGGGAGGGACCCGTGATTTTCATCGCACCCAACAGATGATGCAATGAGTCCTACAGTGACGTCTCGGTGCACAAAACGAACGGGCATGCCGACTGCGTTGCACAGTGCGTTGGAGCCACTAGCTTCACCTGTTCTTCCAGCTGGAGTTGGTCGGTGTACAGAGCATGTTCGCGTTGTACAAAGCCGTGGTGGACATGGCCGCGACCGCCGCCGCATTGTTCAAGATTTGGTTACCAGCCAATCAAAGCAAAGATACTGATATACATCATTCTGATTGGGGGGGAAATCATCTTGGGATTTGTATAGGGTTGAATCGAGCACATCCTTTCGAGAAAGGGATCGCATTGTGAAAAAAGATGCGCGCCAAGCTCACTCAAGGGCGCGCTGCGCCGCAGTACGGTTCTGTAAGCCCCCTCCTTGAGGATGAGGTGCACTCCCGACGTATGACCAAGGCCAAGGTGCTGCTTGTGGCCGGTGCCGTGAGCATCGTGGCCGCGGGCTTCGTATCAACGTTGCATGCGTCCCCGACTGCCGTCGTCAACTCGTCTTCCATCGGCACTCCCCACTCGAAGGTTCAGACAACACCTGTAGTCGTTCATGTTGTCGAAACTGCGTTCGAGAATGGAAACCCTGCCTTGTTCCGCAAGCTGCCGCCACTCAAGTTAAAAAGGTCTGCAACGACTAAAAAAGCCGCAACTGCTCCTGCGCGTCCGAGCACCATCCACATTGATGACTCGAAAGTCTTTCAAGAGATTCTTGGATTTGGCGGTGCTTTCACGGAAGCGTCGGCCCTGAACTTCAAAAAGTTGCCACGGGTCAAGCAAGAAGAAGTGCTGCGTCTTTACTTCGACGAAAAGACTGGCGCGGCGTATTCATTTGGCCGCGTGCCCATGAACTCGTGCGACTTTTCCGTCGCGTCGTACTCGTTCGACGACGTCGTAGGGGACGTGTCCTTGGAACATTTCGACACGAACGTCACGCATGACGCGGAAGCCATCATCCCTTTCCTTCGTCGTGCACTCAAACTTCGACCAGACATCAAGCTGTTCCTGTCTCCGTGGAGCCCTCCAGCGTGGATGAAAGCTCCCAACAGCAAGGGCGAGTTTTCGATGACGGGGTCAGCGACGCCGCTCGGCATCAACCCCACGTACCAGGCGGCTTGGGCATTGTACTTTTCCAAGTTCATTTCAGCGTATAAGGGTCATGGCATCAACTTCTGGGGCCTCACCCCGCAAAACGAACCCATGTTTCCAGCACCGTGGGAAGCGTGCTTCTACGAAGCCAAATCGGAAGCAACTTTTGTCGGCGACTTCTTGGGCCCGCAGATTCGGAAAGATCACCCGGACGTTAAAATCCTTGTGTTCGACCACAACCGCGACGCAGTGACGCAATGGGCGGCTGCCGCGTACGAAAAGGCGAGCGCGTACGTGGACGGCGTGGCTTTCCACTGGTACAACGGCGACGGCCGCGAGCTGGATGGTGCCTTGTACTACAACCACTTGAACGATACGCACCACTTGAACCCGTCCAAGTTGTTGCTAGCGACGGAAGCGTGCAACTGCCCTGGCGTAGCCACTGGCAAAGACGCGTGGTTTCGCGCCCAGCGGTATGGCCACGACATCATTTCCGACATCAACAACCACGCGAATGGATGGGTTGACTGGAACCTGCTCTTGGACCACGAAGGCGGTCCAAACCACTTGAACAATACATGCGACGCACCGGTTTTGCTCACGCCAGACGCCAAGGGCTTCGTCGTGCAGCCCCTATACTACTTCATCAAGCACTTTTCCGCTTTTGTTCCTCCAGGGTCGAAGCGCATCGCGGCGGACGTCCGCGTATCCTTCGGTACCCCTGGCACGGATCACGCGCTCTTCCTCAAGTACCCATCGGCCACGCATGTGTGCGACGGCAGTGTCCGGCAGGCGGTGGTGCGGACGCAGGACAATAAACTCCAGGTGAAGGGCACTGACTTTTGCATCGACGTTGTCAAGGAGTGGTTTGGGGACAAGGTCGAGTTGACCATGTGCATCTACACGCAAAACGTGTACAAGTTCACGGAGGCCGGCGAAGTCAAATTCCACAACAAGTGCCTGTCCGTCGCACACGGGTCGACCGAGAATGGCGCGGCCATCACGCTCGACGAATGCGTCGGCAGCACGAGCCAAAAGTGGACGGTCGGGAACGGCGTTGTGACGAACCAAGCGACCAACTTCTGCATCACCGCCGGGTACGCATTTGCCCAAGCGGCTGCCTTCAAGACACCGTCGAACCGCACGGTTGTGGTTGTGCAAAACGAACATTCGCAGCTGGACGCGTCGTTCGAGTTGACGACGCCACAAGGCTCGGTCGACACGATTGTGCCCAAGGGAGCGATTCGCACGTTTTACTGGGATCCTTAAGTTTCGTCAAAGCGGCATCATTTGGCCATCTTCTTCCGATGTTGAACATGCATTGTTTACGAGTTTGCAACGTGGATGTGGACGACAGCGCCGACGCAACCCAACAAGTCGGCGCTGCCACACACTGGTCGATTCCGCCCAGGCACAATTTCTTCAACGTGGCCAAGCCGGCCCCGTTTTGCTGGACGTCATGAGCAACCATGCACCACTTGGCCTCAGCAACTTATAGCTCCGACCCGCCAGGCCTTCCAGTGACGGAACGCTGCGCCGATCAAACAATTGGAATCAAGCAGTGTGCTTTTCGTTATCAAGCACGAGCAGCGACAGAGACCGCACCGATCGGTCGCCCAACATCACAACTCGTACTGGTGGTGCATGCATTATCCAGCATTACCCGAAATATCACCGAGAGCTTCAACCCTTCTTGGCCGCGACTGCAGGGCACTTGCCGTTGGCGTCGTACTTGCCGTTGCCGCCCGCGATGCGGTGGCACTTGGTCGACGGATAGATCGACATGATGCTGGACACGACCGAGAACGCCAGGCACGAAACAAAGACCACGATGAGGAGGATGCCGGCGAACTTGCTCTTGCCGCCCTTCTTCTTGAGCTCTTGCATCTGCGTCCGCTGGGGCGGCAGCATCCACAGCCACACCAACGCAAACAGCTTGGCGCCATACGAGATGAAGAACGAGTACGTGACGTCCCATCGGACGTCGGTCGTGTCGGCCTTGAGGTCGTCCTGCGATAGCAAAAAGTACGAGTCGATGACCTTGTAGATGACGGACGCGAACGGCGACGCCAAGTTGGACACGGTCGTGACGAGGCCGTACGTCGCGCCTTCGTTGCCGACGTCCGCGATCTCGACGGCGCAGTACGTCGCCACGATGAAGCGCACGCCGCCCGGCACGTTGTCGGCGAGCGCGACGCCCGTGAAGAACCACTGGTTGCGCACCACGTCCCAGATCGTGAGGAACACGACAAACCCGTCGACCAAGATGACCCCGATGGAGCTGAGCGCGATGGCCCACCGCCAGTTCCAGTGCAGACCCCACTTGCCGACCGCGACGAGGATGCCAGAAAAGATGGCGTTCCCGATGATCGACGACAACGAGTCGTTCAACGGCTCGACTTCGGCCCAGATGCTCGACATGGGACTGCCCGCCGTCGACCCGATGTTCTGGAACATGTTGTTGATGAACCGGAACGCGCAGATCTGCCACATCACGCGCTTCTGGAGCAGCTCCCAAAAGTTGCCGGCCCACTCGCGGACCGGGACGCCGGGCGTCTTGGTTTCTTGGACCACAAAGATCGTCGAGAGCACCACAATCACGCACGGAATCAAGCAAATGCCGTACGGGACGTTGGGCGCCATCGAGAACGAGAACGACCCGTTGTAGTTGGCGCCGTTCAGCCCAAAGCCCGTCACGATCAACGCGATGATTCCCGCCATCGTGCGCACGACGTAGATGGCCGTCTGCACGCGGCCACGCACGGCCAGGGGCTCGCGCTGCGCATACTGCACGACCATCGCGTCCGATGCACACGCAGCCGTCACGTACCCCAGCGACACAAACATGGACAAAATGATAAACAGGCCGCCGTTGTCCGGCGCTGCCAAGTTGAACAAGTCCAGGTCGCTCGCCGACGCGTTCGAGTACGGCTTGGAGCACGCCTTCGAGTTGCGCGCGGCCGCCTTTTCCCGGTTGCAGTACGGGTCGCCCAGCGACGAAAACGTCATGATGGCCAAGCAGATCATGGTCGCCGTCCACCCGATCAACATCCACGACTTGCGGCGGTACCCAAAGATCGGAAAGCAGTCGGAGAACATTCCCATAAACACTTTGAACGACCACCCGAGCGTCACCAACGTCGAGTACGACGCGGTCTGGTACCCCTCGAGCTGCAGGTACACGTTGAAGATGGGGTAGTTGAAGGCCGGGATCATGCCAAGGAGAACCCCGATCGCCGCATACTGGGTGAACAAACCAAACGCTTCGCGGGAGAAGAGGTCGAGGGCGCCACCCGCGACAAGCGCGCCGTCTTCGAGCTGTCCGGGGGTCTTGGCTTCATCGTAGCCCTTGGCGTCGATGTCCTTGGTGGCTGACTGGATATACGACACACGCTCCTGGAGATCCAAGTCGCGGCCCGAGTGCTGCATCGCGCTCGGCGAAAAGATGAAATGAAGGCACCGAGTCGTCGGCGGCGCGACGGTTGGTGGCGTCGAACAATCGTAGGACGAAAGCGCGCTTTGGACCGACGACGACCCCAACGGGACCCGACGACTCGTCCCGGCCAATCGACGCCGCGTCGAACATTTCCACGACGACTTTTCGAACGAGAGAAGCGAGTCCAACAGGTGCATGCAACTGTCGACGCCGTCACGATCGTGTGGCTAGCACGTGCATTTCGTCGGCGGCTCCGTCGACTCTGGTCGGAGGGGAACGTTCGCTGGATGATCGGGACATGCGAAAGCGCGGTCGTCCTTCAGACAATTGGCAGTGGTGGCGGACGGACTCGAGCGCTGGCTCCGTGACTCGAATGCAATGACAACGACAGGATGCGACGCTCGGTTCTAGTTTCGAATAATCGCCGGCCACCGCCGCATGGGACGGTCGCAAGATGAAGATGGATGGGCCAGTATCACCGCCGTCCAAGACGAGAGTGGCGGACGTCCACGTGGCACCGCCTATCCAGGTGGACAAGCGCTCGTACAGCACAATGACGTGGTAGACTCGCTCGCTCCATCGTTCGCCGAGGTGTATCGATCACAGCGCAGGTGGGAGTGTGCTGGCGGCGACAAGAGCCCGACGTCGTCGCACGCCCACTGGCAAGCAAGTGGCAGTGCTCAAAGTGGATATCCCCGTCTGGCGACGACGACGTGATTATGACAACACACCCAACGCAAGTGCGGCCGCTGCAACGTGCCAGCGTCGATCCATGCGTGCCATCCTCTGACTGCGCAGAGCCGCAGAGCGTGTTGTTGTTCAAAGCACCGAGCAACGGCCTGCTCCGCCACAACAATCTAGGCACCGTCGCGCGGACCTTTCATCGATGCCGCCATCGCCCCCACCAACCTTCGCCTATCCGCGGACTACGCAGGCTTGACGGAACCCTGCGCGCGTCAGTGGTCGAAGGGGTTTGTGGCCCCGTGCTCCGAAAGCGTTCGAGTTGTCCGCGCCATCGATGGGGCAGCTCTGGTTCGGCGGCCACGAGGATGACGCGGACGTGGCGATGGCCAACGACAGGCCGCCAAGTTGGGTCGATTTCGCCTCTTCCAGGCGTTTCAACACGCGTCCAAGTGACGTTGGCGCGCACCACGGCATGGACAAGAGCGCAGAAAGCGCTGGCAATCTCAAGCGGCGGTGTGGCGACAGAAAGCGTCCTCCACCGCAATCGTCGACACAACTGGCGGCGGGACCTCACGACGTCTTTGCAGTGTGTGGATCGTTCCAGTTCCTGAGTCGGTGGCCGCCATGTCCTGCGAACGTGCGCGCGCGCGGCGACATACCTCGTCGACGCGCACTTGTACGACAAGGGCGCTCCAAGTAGCGTACGCTAGCAGCAGCACGTCACCTCATGCCGAGATGCTTTTGACACGGCTTCGACTGCACGAGCGTCGCCATTCGCTGAAGCCCAACGTTAAATGTCACGATGCAGTAGGCGTCGTGGGTCGGCAGCGGCGCCGCAAGGTGGCCAGGGAAGGAGCTGTCCCAGTAGCACCTTCAGGGCATCGCACGAGAGCTGTGCCGCCGCCGCCGACGGCACGCGCGCGGTCCAAATTGGACGAAAATCGGTGTAAAAGTTGAAAAAATTGGGAAATTGCACTCGATAAAATGTCGAATCTCGTCGTCCTCTGTTTCGAAACCGCCGGTGCACCCGTTCACGATCTTGACATCGAACGGCCAGGTGGCAGTCGTCATGGCAGGTCATGGCCGCGTTCTCGTCGCTGCTGCAGCGGCGCTGTGCGGCGGCCTGGCTGGTGTCGACGCGTCCGTTGCATTCAAGATGACGCGCCTGACCACAACACACGAGGAAATGTTCCTCGAGACGTTGAAAGCCGATCGCGACAGCGGCGGCGCGGCCAAAACGACCCTCCTTCTTGGCCAGGGGGTGCATTCGGTCGAAGCGTTCTTTGGCGGACAACCGCGCGTCCTGATCGTGGACACGGGCAGCGCCGACACGGCGTTTCCGTGCTCGGACTGCCACGGTTGCAGCGACAGCCACCTAAACACTTTCTACCGCTTCACCAACACCTCGACGTACGTCTCATGCAAAGACAATGCGGCGTGGGGGTTGACTGCATGCAAATCGTGCACGACAGACGACAAGTGTGTGTTTGCAGAGCAATACGTCGAAGGCAGCGGATGGGAAGCATTCAAGGTCAAGGATTTGTGCTACTTTGACGAGAATCGAGACGTAGTCGCAGACGTTGTATTTGGGTGCATGCATTCGGAGAGCGGGGCGTTCTTGAACCAGGAAGCGGACGGAATCATGGGCATGTCGAGGGACCCGGACGCGCTGTTTGTGCAGTTCTTTGACCATGGCGCGACCAAGATGAAGGGATTTTCGCAGTGCATTTCGTCAACGGGAGGTCACATGGTACTCGGCGGACTCGACGCTTCCGTCCACAACCCTGGTGCCGACATGGTGTTCACGCCACTTCGGGCGACGGGGTATTCGTACTGGACTGTCTCGATGGAGTCGCTCGCTGTGGACGGCGACATCATCGACGTCCCGAGCACCGTGTACAACCAGAACCGTGGCTGTGTCTTTGACAGCGGTACGACGTTTGTGTACTTGCCTAGCGCGGCCGCAGATGCCTTTCAAGCCAAGTGGGCTGCTGCTGTCGCGGCTGCTGGCCTTGACGCAGCCACGTTTTCAACGTACCGAGAAGGCGGCGAATACGTCGTGCGGTCGCCGAGCGTGCTCCTCAAGTTCCCGACGCTGTCGTTCAAGTTTGCCAACGATGCCGTCATGCATCTCCCCCCGACGCAGTACATGGTGAGCAACGGAGGCACCACGTACACCGCGACGGTGTTCTTTCAGGATTTTGCCCATGCCACCATCATCGGCGCCTCCATGCTGGCCAACCACAACGTGCTCTACGACATGGCCAACCATCGCGTCGGGTTTGCCCCGGCCGACTGCGACACGGACGTCGTCCATGGAGCGATGGCGCTCTTGGTCACGGATGTCGGCGGCGACACGTTCATACCGGAAACAACGTGGATGCAGTGGCTGCTGCAGCTGCCGAGTGTGGCAGGGTTTGTCCTGGGCGTTGTGGTGTTGTATGTAGCGAAGGAAGCGTGGGATGCAGTCGGCAAGTTTGTTGGCCGTGACAAGGCGGTGTTTGTCGCGGCGGACACCGCCTGCGGCGATAATGACGAAGAAGCCGGCGCCGTCCAACCCTCCACCCGGACGACGTTTGTGCTGCTATAGACGAGATAGAGCCATCACTTGTGTGAATCTATCGAGACAGCCATCGATATGCGGTCGATTTGGGTGTGTACAAATCCATGGTGCCACGTCGCCTTGTTCGCGTAGATCGCGATTCTGGCCTCACTCGAAAGGATTTCGTGACCGTTTGCGCACGTCGGTGCTGCGATCGTGCGTCCTTGAGTGCGAGCGACATAATTCCCCGAACGCATGGTACATCCATGTCCAGTGAGCAGTGACGCGCAAACTGCGTCGACATTCCACACACGACAGTGAGCGCATGCCAGGTCGCGGCTCTACCCTGCAGCGGCTGCAGTGGCTGGTGAAGCGCTGCACCGCGAGCTGGTCGTTCCCAGTGTTGCTGCACCTGCACTCTGCAAGGCCGCGAGCTGGTCGTTCCCAGTGTTGCTGCACCTGCACTCTGCAAGTTCAACGACCTACATTGTTGGAATTTGCAATGGTGAGACCATTTCAATATTGCTACTCGGATTCTGCCAGGCGAAAGAAAATCGAGCGACGTGCCCACCAACGCCACGCGGCTCCTACGCCCTTGCCCGCCACGACGACGCAAGTAGCGCCAACTCTCGACGGATGCACCTTACGCTGGCACCCACTTCACACCCGCGGACATGCAAGCAAGGTCGCGCGGGTTCCAGCACGCACATGCATCCAACCAAAAGCCACCTGAGTAGGGAGACTGACAAGTCCTCCTCGCCGGTGCGATGATTTCGACAACGACCGATACCCCATGCTGAAACGAGCGCCGGTCGACGACATCTTGTGGCATCCATTCGTGGAACCGTGCCGAACCGCGTCGTGTGGCTCATGCGCAAAAACTGCACCAACTCGATACATTACACCAAAGGAACGCAAAAGAGGGAATCGAAAGAACCATGGCGATGCGTGAAGCCGTTGGAGGGTCGACTCCCCATAGCGCGAGCACGTACAAGCTCGGCACACAACACTGCCTCCAGTTCGCGCATGCCAGCCGAGTTCGTCGCTCGAGCGTTTCGTTCCCCATACCTTCGAGATCGACAACAACGTCAACGTAGTCGCCGAGGGACGGCCAAGCCGTTGCAATGGACACTCCATTGCAGTGCAATCACTTGGTGTTTGTATACACAGTGCACCGGCCACACTTGTGACCACATCAATCATGACGCCATTCGGCATCTCACCCACGGCAGCACATGGCTCCACCCGCCGCCGCCGCCGCGTTGGGCGTTCGGCACGCGGCGATGGTGCCACACAGCCAGCCGCACCTTGTAGTGTATAGAGGTCGATGCAAGTATAAGTCGGGCAAGTGCGCGAACGAACGTTCGGTCAAGGACAACGGTCTGCCGCACACGTTGTGCGAGCCGCACCGCGTGCAACACAACAAGAATCAGCGCAAGTCGGACGTGAAGCGGCGACGGCAGATGCGACTGGAACGAGGGGGTAGCAAGACACGTGTGCCAGCCAAACCGTCGACGACCGACGAGACGTGGACACTGCGCGCAAGTTGTCCGTCGCTGCAGTCGGTCGACGACGCATTGCCTGCCGACACTGCAGCGGCGTCACCAGCGTCCATCCTCGAGCCATTCAAGTGGAACGACGACTGGACCTTTGACGACTTGATCCTCCTCCGCGACGTGATCATGTGACCGCTCGATGGACTTGTCGCGATGGAAAATGCAATATTTACCGTCAACCTGTGTCGATGGCATCGCGCGGAGAAGGGCGGTGGTCGTGTGTGCGGAATTCTCCTGGCGTTGTTGCGTGGGGATCTGTCGCGTCGCTGCCAGTGTCGCCATCGGGCAGTAGCGATGGGCAACACCATTAGTCGCAGCCATCGCAATCCAAGAGGAACGACAGGATGTGCATGGAGACAGGGCATCGAAGCGACGCCGCCTCTAGCACGCGCGGCCATGCGTTCAATGTGTCGCGGCCAGCACCCGGCCGTCATGCAGCCCCGTTGGATGGCGTACACGGATGTGTAGATGGAGCAAGACGTCGAGAGATGGTGCGGCGGTGTTTGTGCGAGGTAGGCGAACGTCAGGTACATGGCGCGCCCGATGGCTTGCGATCGTGTCCCGCGGGAACCAAGACGGTTGCATCAATCTTTTTCGTGTCTACGAGATGGTTAAAAAGCTTCGCAACGAATTCCGAAACTGGCCCAACTTTTGCGTGAACCGGTCGCGGTTGGACGCTTCCAACGACGGGACGATATCTTGGTACAGCTTGGCAAACGCGTCGTCGACTTGGGCTTTGTGTTGATCGTTCCCTTGCGACGCGGCAATGCTGTGTTGGTACGTCGCGAGCGCGTCCGGGCTGCACAGCGACAACGACAGAATCGGTCGCGACAATGCCCATTGCGACGTCGCGTCGCCATAAATCAAAATGTTGAACAGCGACGACAGGAGCGTCGACCACAACGACGGGTACGCTTGCAAATGCACCGACAGCGAGTGTTTCACGGTCGAGTCCTTTTTCTTCTTGGTTTCGTGGTAATAGAGTGTCGCGAGGTGGTCGACGGCGGTCGCGCATTGCGCCGCAATCGTCAAATCGTACGAGTTGACACCTTCGTGGAGGCTCTGGACGAGCTGGGAAAAGATCGTCGAGTCGAGCGACACGACCGACACAATTTGGTTGCGAAACAGCATCTCCAAAAAGAAAAAGTATGTGTTCTTCACCTTGGGGTACGTCTACCGAGTCGTGCATGAGCGCGCGCGCGTCAACATCACACGGCCGTACCATGAGTTCGTCCAGCGGGATCGACAGCGCCAACTGGAGACACACTTCGAGCGCTTGGTCCCACGCGCCGTCGTTGTACAATTTAAACACTCCAAAGTTGACATAGTTGCCGCCTACAACATCCCGGTCAAGACCGTCGTCGGTGGTCGTCGTTGACGCGTACCCAACGCGCGGAACAGGATGCCCAAACACAGCGCGATGCCCTTGTACCTCTCCGCGTACGCATCGCGATGGATCGGGTGGTTGAGGATGCGCGTGCCGTACGCGACAATCACGTGGCTGAGCTCGCGAAAGAGCAAGATCCCGTTCGGCGAGCTCTGGTCAAACATCACTCGCTGCGACTTGTTGTACGCCAGTTCTTGGAGAAACTTGAGCAGCGCGTTCATGACGGTCGGCGTGTTGTACCAGACTTCGGCCGCCTTGGTAAACACGGGCATGTACGTCGGGTACACCAAGTCAAACATGACGTTGTACGTGCGCTTGTTGTGGGTCGAAATAAATACACCGCGGAGGTCGCGGCACACTCCAATGATGGCTTCGCGGACGTCGGGGTGGCGGTAGTCTTGAATTTGCATCAACTTGGCGAGGACCTGTTCGAGCGGCGAAATGTACTCGTCGAATCGGTCCGTCGACTCGTCAAACGATGTGGTGAAGAGCAGCCGCGAAATCGTGCTGTGAAAGCTCGTGCGGTGCCGCGTATTGGACGGGACTGCGAGAAACGGAAACTCCTCGGCTGTCGGGTGGCGGATCAAGTACTGGACCGTGTCGAGGCCGAGCAAGAGCTTGCCCGACGAATACCCGGACGCAATGTCGAGAAAGAGCGTGAGGGTTTGCGAGATCACGCGCTCTTCGTCGCCCCAAAACTTGAGGTTCTGGCCGACGTGCGTCACGATCATGTTGACGACGATAGTGTGATCGCCAAACCCCATGCGCTCAAACATGCGCTGGTACGACTTGGTCTTGGCAGACATGGCTGTATCCGACGGCGACGATACCCCCAACACGCCCGCGGACCCTGCGGTCGGTGACGCCACGCTCAGTTGTGGCATCGACGGCATGCCATGCTGCTCGCCAATATACGATCGCCGAAAGTAGCTAAAGTAATGGAGGAGGGCGAGTTCCAAATGGATGTGGCACTTTTGGCTCCCGCCAGAGTTGATCAAGCGGTGCTCAACTACTTTCATCGTGCGAAACACGCGCTGGCACAGGTCAGCATCGACCAGTTCGTCGCCGTCGTTGAGTTGCGTTGACGTGTACGAGTGGCCTCCAATGATCGACCCGACAATGTAGATGAGCCACGCCAGCTGCATTTCGAGCCCATTCAAGCCACGTGTCATCGCTTCGTCGTCATCTCCCATCGACGTCGACGCGCCGTTGCTGATCACGTCCCGGTATTGCGAATGGAGCGAATCAAACACTTGGAGGATGTACTCACCAATTTGGCGGTAGTTGTAGTGGCAAATGGTCGGCAGCTTGTCAAACTGCTCCGACAAACTCCCTTCGTCTTCCAACGGATCTTCCAAGCCATCGTCCTGGGCGACTTGCTGCGCAGAATCCAACCGCGACTGCACGTACGATTGTACGATGCGCGGAATCGCCTGGTCCAAGAAACTCACCGAGGCGGGGCCGTTGCGCTCAGCACGTACATAGGGCAGAGCAGCAACGAGGCGCGACCAGAGCCCAAGCAGGTAGTGGATCGAGTTGGCGCTCCACTGCCACTGCTGGAACGACTTGACCGTGAACGTCGGGGTCAGGTCCATCCATTCCTGGAACGACTCAGCTTTCATCAATTCCGACAGCTGGTAGTTTGACTTGAGCCGGCCTAGAAGGCGGCAAAACTCATGGTAGTTGTCTTGTTCAGACAGCCCTTGCTGCGTCGAGATGATCCGGCAGATGCCAGTCAAGAGATGGGACAGAAAGTTGGCCCGTTCCTTCTCCGGCGCAAACAGCGAGCGCCGCACAGACGCCAACAACATTAATGCCTCCAGACACCGCGCCGAGTTGGGAACGGTGCTACTGTGGTAAAAGTCGAACAAGAGCTGCATCGTTTCGGGTTCTTGGACCAGCAAACGCCACGACGACGGGACTTGCAGCGCGCCAGCGTCTTCGGACGACTCGTCGGGGTTGGTGCCAATGAAGTCGAAGGACAAGCATTTGATGGCAAGGTTTAAAGCGAGGTCGGCCATGCGGTTTTCCTGGTCAGGGGACGCGCCAGGGATGTTCTTCATCTGCAGTGTCTTGACTGTTGTCAGCGCCACTTGAAAGATGTGGTAGAGCGACGCCTCTCGGAACGCGACGGCAATCTTCCGGTGGAACGTCAGGTTGCGACCGCTCACCGGTTGGTTCATCTCGGTCACGAGTTCGTTGAGGATTTGCAGCCCGATGATGCAGTGGTCGACCGTGGCTTGCAAAAACTTGGACACTTCATGGTTGAGTTCGCGGAATTGCTCGTCGTCGAACCAGCCAAACTTGGTCAAACGGCACACGAGCTGAATGAGCGATGTCGTGACGTACTTTTCCAGATTTGGGCCCTTCTGCGCCAAGTACGCCAAAACGTAGTTGCGGATGTCGATGCGTTGGGACGGTGTAAAATTATTCCAGTGCGTCGAGATGAGCTTGGTCAAGCTTGTGCTCGCAACCAACAGCGCATACATGCACGTCGAGTTGTCCAAAATGTACTGGCATCGCGGAATGTGTTCCGCCGAGCTTTGCAGCGCCAAGATGGTTTGCTGCGCCATGGACCGCTCCATTTCGTTGCTTGACTGGTACAACGCCGTGCACAGCATCTCCACTTGCTTGAGTTCATTCGCATCCATGATCTACAGAAACCTTCTTCCACAGACCGTGAGAAGATGCAGAAAGGACGGGCGGCGCGGCGACGGCGGCAAAGGGAAAGAAAAAGTCGAGGAACCACCCCCTATTTTGTATGGATATGGGATCACTCGTATTCGATTTAACAGGTTCGTACAGCCGATCGACGCGAGATATCACGTGTTGGAGGTTTTCGAGGGGAAAAAGATATCATTTTGGCCAATGAAAGACACGCTCTTCAAATTTCCCTTGCTACATTGGTGGAAAAGATTTATTTTTAGCCAATCCAATTGCGCGTTGCCCCAAACCTGAGGTGGAACACAGCCGCCGTCACATCTGCGACGCCGCGTGGAAGCCTCATGTGCAGCTCACATGAACAGTACGCCCCCCGAACGGAATCGGTTGTGCGCATGCACATGTTACGTCGCGAAGGACGCGCCCTGCGTTCGGTTTGCGCGTTTCGTCGATGCACGCGACCGGCATGTCCCTTCCGTACGTGTTCTGTTGGCCACGACATGGAACAGCTCTTGGCATTACGACAACAGTACGCTACTACACGTATGCGAGCTCAACAAACAACACTTAAAGCGCCGTGCGCTGGGGAAGGAGCGCGGACGCTTCACACAATGCCTTCGGCGCTTCCGTAAAGTGTGGCGTCGGCAGATGTGGCGGCAAGTGGCGGCGGTGCAGCGACCAGGACTGTTTGATATGCGCCCACGACAGGATCGTGCGTATCGAATTTCTACATTCCGTTGGTCGTCCCGATAGTTGATACACAGGGACGGACGTACAATGGGGAGGGAGATTTCAATCCATGATCGGCAGCATTTCTTGACAAGTTTCCACTCGACGTCGGCATCCTTAAAGCATGGCCGCGCGTTTATGCGCTCGATCAGGGTGCGGGTGTATTGCTCTGCCTGTGCGACGCGTTAGATTTCTCCGCGCGACAGTTTGACCTTACATCGCTGATGCACATGTTGGGGCAGAGCAAGGACAGCCCAGCGGTGCAGACACAACAGAGGTAGCCACAGCACACACAGAATAAACACGGCCAGTAGTCCGTGAGCGTGTTGTTGATCTGATTGATAGCTTGGGAGAACTGGGCCTCGGTCACCTGTGTCGAACGGTGAAGGTACAGACGGGAAAGCACATGTGGATGTGATCATACCAGGCCATCCAGCTCGATGGGAAAGTCGTCGTCGTAGCGGTTCGTGATGCCGCTTATGAATGGCATGCGCTGAGGCATGAGGAAGACGCGCGATCGGTCCTTCCTTGCCGCCGTCATCGTCGGCTGCATGTGCTGTCCTGTCCAGAACAACCAGACTGTTTCATGAAACCGTCGCGGCCAAATTCACCCAATCCGAGGTCGCTCTTTTGGTTCAATTCATGGATTTTAACCAATCAAATGTGTTTACAACTTCATTTTCCATCTCAGCGACGCGGAGCATGCATGTGTCTGGGTCTGCTCCATTCTGCGCGTTCGCACACGTGTGTGTGCAAGTCCCCTTGCTTATGTGGTAGCATCGCCCTGCGGCTTGGCCGGGCCATCATTCAGCGCCACGTGCGCCGAACGTGATGCCATAAATCTTGCTGCCCGATGCGTGTGGCATGCACAAAACGTGGTGGCGGCCAGCACGAATGGTACCACAAGACAAGCAACCCGATCAACAGCACGCCATGGGTCGTGCATGATGTCCCAATGCCATGACGGAGTCGACGGTGAAAACGCACATGGGGATCGATGGCACGTGAATGTTGAGGGAGTTGCGTGACTCGATCGCATCACGACGCTCGTGGAAACCACGCAAGTGGAATGAAGCGTGCTTCGGTGAAGATCGTAAGCGTCGACCTGGCATGGCTGTGGACGAAGGCATGGACTCCCACTGGATTGCATGGACGTCCACACGTCGTGCGGAAAGCACTGCGTTGGCCGCGTGCTCTTTGCTCTGTGGACGACGAGGGCTACCCATGTGAACCCTCAAAGCAGAGGAAGATCGAGTCGTGTGTGTGTCATGCCGCAGAGATCCGAATGCTACCTTTTGTGAATCCTCCGTTCGATCGATCGCGCATGAAACCACCCACATGCACACCTGTGCCATCATGGTGTCTAACTGCGCCGCACGACCGACCAAATCGAGTTCGATGCACTTAGTTAGATGACGCAGGGGCATACAGCGGCTTGGCATCTCCGTTGAGAGCAGTGTACTGGGGCTTGTTGGCGATGCGGTTGATGGCGACGACACCAGCGACCGTCGCGAGCGCCAGCACACAGTACCATGCCGCGTAATGCCAGGGCGCGATGGCGCTGGCCGCGCCGTCGAATTCGACTTCGTCGCCGTCATCGGACGTGTAGATAACGTCTTGGCCGGTCAGGTACTCCAAGTTGTCTTTTGGGTAGGCAAACGTGCGGCACGCAGCGTCCCCGAACACAAAACACTCAAACATGAACAACGCATGGAGCGGGCGGACGGCGGGGACCATGTGGCCTGCGCCCTTGACGGTCGTGAAGTTGAGGCCGGCATAGCCCTCCGTGTACCCCGCCACCTGGTTGTCGGGACCGAACCAGGCGTGCCACTTGGTATGAACGTTCAGCTTGAGACCATCGGTCGTGATCCATCGCTGTGTCCCGATAAAGTTGACAATCGAGTCGGCGTCCCCGCTGTAGATGAGCGCTTTGAGGTTCTTGGAGAGAATCGTCGGGTATACAGACAGCGACGACTTGCTACGCGTGTAGTGAAAGTTGGCGCCGCCGGCGCAGTTTTGCCAGTCGACATGGTTGCCCGTGACGTGGAGCGCGGCTTGCACCGCCGGCTGGCGGAGGTAGCTCTGCGTAAAGGCGTCCGCGCACGGCCCGATCTTGCCTCGATGCATCGGGCGCACGTTCTTGTACTGAAGCGTATTGCCTTGGTCGTTTTCGAGCAAGCAAACGTCCCCATAGATGTAGTACGGATTCAAGTCGCCCGCGTCGGCTTCGTCCATGCCTTCCCGGATGGCTTTCGCGCACGCATTGTCCCCCGAGTCGTCCGAGAACACACCGGCATACGTGGCAAGGCCCGACTTGTTGCACGACGCCTGGATCGCCGTGTAGTCTTCGAGCGAGATCATGCCGTGCGTGTAATAATAGTCCATATATGCTGCGTTGTCGATGGCTTCGTCCGTGTACGGGTTGCCGATGGCGAACCCCTTCAAGTTGAGCCCCGGGACCGGCGTGTCGACGAGGTTGTCGACCAAGAACGGGATGTACATGCCGCCGTAGCTTTCACCAGTGATGTAGAAATCCCGGCCGTGGAGCGACGGGTACGCCGCAAGGAACTGCTCGAGGAATTCGCGGGCGCGCGCCGTCGTGAATGCGTCGTTGTACTGCGACGCGTTCAAAAAGGGGCGGCTGAACCCGACGCCGGCGGGGGACTCGAGGAATACCATGTTGGTCTTGCGGTTCCATGCGTACTTGTTGCGCTTCACGGACAAGTCGCTGGCGACGACTAACGGGCCGAGCTCGGTGAAGAACCCACCGAGCGACGAGCAGCCCGGGCCACCATTGAGCCACAACACGAGTGGGTCGGTCGACGGGCTATGCTGCGACTCGACGTACCAGTAAAACATTTCTTGGCCGTTGCTTGGCAGGGCCATGCGGCCGGCGTACTGGTCAAAGTCGAGCGGCGTGTCGTCGATGTAGCCAGGAAGGTCCTTGATCTTGTGTGCGTCTTGGATCGCGGTGGCAGCGGCGACGGCAGCGACGACCGAGCCGACCAGTTGCATGGCACGGAACACCATCGTGTATCACGGCCAACGGGAATCCAAAAGTGGCCGCGGGGCTGCGTCCGCGCGGGGTTTGGGGGTCGGAACGAGGACGGGCGGCGCCGAACTTTTCGCCCCAACCGGGTGCAATTTCGAAGTCGGAAGATCTCAAGTTGAACTTGGGAAAAACGAAACGGCGCGAGGAAACTTCCCTCGAGAGAGACAAACGGCCGTCCTCATGCCGTGGGCCCGCGCGCGGGGAGACCGGTCGCGCGCTGCGACTCGACGTGGGGCCGCTGCCGCCACGTACCGCGATGCGGTCGCCATATGGCCACCCTTGGGTCTGGCGCAACGATTCGATTGGATCGAGGGACGCTGTCCCGCGGCGGCCACATCACGAGCTCGGCACTCGAGTGGCTCGGGCGAGGCCGACGCCGCTGACTTCAGTGGGATCGTCGAGAAAGGTATCTGCGAAGAAGGGAGATACTAAAGAGCGCGATGGGCACTTCTGGACGTCGAACGCGGCTCGCCCCGTTCCTGATCACGGCGCCATGGATCCACGTGTTGTACGTCGCGGGTCACTTTTCAACTCGCCATGTTGTTCGCGTGGGCCGCGTTGGTGGCGGCACTGGTGCACCCCGTGGTCGGCTACGTCGCCGAGCACAAAATCACGTCGCTGCCGCGGTACAACGACCCCAAGCCCATCAACTTTGACCAGTATGCGGGCCATCTCGTGCTGCCGTCGACTGGGCAGCGCATGTTCTACTGGCTGGTCGAGGCCGAACACAACCCCGAGACCGCGCCGCTCGCGCTCTGGCTCAACGGAGGCCCTGGCTGCTCGTCGTTGATCGGATTCTTCACCGAGAACGGTCCGTTCGTCGTCGCGTCCGACCTGTCCGTGAAGCGCAACCCGTACGCGTGGAACCGGCACATGAACATGGTGTACTTGGACTCGCCGGCCGGCGTCGGCTTTAGCAAGCCGCTCCTGAACGCGACCGACTACAACAACGACGTCACCACGGCGCGCATCTTTGAGTTCCTCGGCGTCTTTGTGGACGAGTTTCCCGTGTACAAGCACCGGCCGTTGTTCGTCACGGGCGAGAGCTACAACGGCATGTACATTCCGTTTTTGGTCCACGACATGGTCGACAAGCCCAAGCCGACGATCAACTTGGTCGGGTTCGCCATCGGGAACGCATACACGGACACCCACATCGACGGCAAGAGCTACTACGACTGGATCTACTCACACGCGCTCATCTCGCACGCAACGTACATGGCGCTCCGGACGCACTGCCAGGACGACGTCAGCGAGTGCGCGGACGGGACCAAGCAGTGCTCGGCCGAATGCGTCGCCGCGCTCGACGACTCGCGCATCTCGTCCGACATTGGCGACTTGAACGAGTACTTTATCTACGGCGACGTGTGCTTGCTCAAGACGCGCCAAGCGCAGTCGTTTACGTACCACCGCATTCGACCGAACGTGCGCGGGAATGTCGGGCCGTGCGCCGACGTGTTTACGCAAGAGTACTTGCGACTGCCCGAGGTCCAGGCAGCCGTCCACGTTGCGGATGGATTCGTGCCGTGGGTTGAATGCAACGACGCGGTGTCGGATGTGTATCACGGATCGGCGTCCGCGCTCGACAAGTACCCTCGCATCCTCTCGGCGGGATTACAGATCCTCATCTACAGCGGCGACGCCGACTCGAACACCAACTTTATCGGGTCCGAGCGATGGATCACGACGGAAGGGCTCGAGCTGCCCGTCGTGTCCAAGTGGAAGGCCTGGTTTGGCCCAGACCGCCAGTTGGCCGGGTACACGCAGGGGTACAAAGGCCTCAACTACTCGACCGTCAAGGGCGCCGGCCACATGGTCCCCGCGACGCGCCCGCTGCACAGCCTGTACTTGATCGAGTGCTTCATCTATGGCCAGCACGCGTGCGACCGCTTCACGTACCCCACCGACAACTTGGAGTACGTGAGCGGGATGGTGTCGAGCCCGGTCAACGACAAACCGGCCATCTCGACACTCGAATGGGTCGCGCTCGTCCTGCCGCTCGCCGTCGCCGTGCTGTTTGTGACGTGGTATGCATGGTGGAAGCACGTGTTGGTGCTTGGCTCGTCCACCCGCGTAAAAACCAACGGTAGTAGCGTTAATTAATGCGATCGCGTCCGCTCCATCGTCGCCATCATCGCATACGATCGAGGTCGTTCCTCACCGGCGGCGCCATCCCGCGATGCCGTCGACCGACCGTCCTCGTCGTCCGCTTACAATTTCGCATACGCAGTCGTTCGGTCCAAGTGCTTTTTTGCCATGACAGCGATCGCCATCGCGGCAAATACAGCGATCATCCCGTACAGACTCAGGTCGTGCACAACGTCATGGCCGGTCGCGTCGGTCGTGCTGTCATCGGTATATGCAACGTCGTCGCCGCTCAAGTACTCGAGGTTGTCGCGGGGGTACGTCCAGTTGGAGCACGCGGCGGTCCCAAACACAAAGCACTCAAACATGTAGAGCGCATGCAGCGGCCGCGTCGCGGGCACCATGTGGCCGGCGCCCTTGACCGTCTTGAACGTGAGGCCGCCGGCGTACTCCTCCGTGTACCCGGCCAACTGGCGGTCCGGGCCAAACCAGGCCTGCCACTTGGACATGACTTTCAATTGGAGCCCCCACGACGACGATATCCACCGCTGGGTGCCCATAAAGTTGACCACCATGTCGGCATCGCCGCTGTAGACGAGC